AAAAAAATCCTAAAATGTGAGGAAGTGCCCTCTAGTGAGCATATTCAATGTTACTAATTTGAGAAATATACCAAAAAAACAATGAAGAAAAGGGGTATACCATGAGACAGTGTCACCCGGTATACCGAAGGCATGATGGGTTGAAAATCACTTCTGATTCGAAATCAGGGCGAAAATATGGAGATTGCCAAGATAAGTTTTCACGAACATTAAATTCCAAAAAAGATCATATTTTTATGCTTCTCCGAACATTCCTTCATTAAAAACGACCTTTCGATCATTCATTCAAACAGTCGAAAAATCAGTCGACATTGTTAGTGTATGGAACCACGTCAGGTACCCTTACAAGGGGAGAGTATCAACTTTGGCGTTCGTAATGCCTCTCTACAAAGGAGGGTGTCGCCTTTAAGAGTTAGGTATAAACAGTGGTTTTACACCAGTTCTTTTCCAAATTATTAGTGCACTTTAGGCAATCAACAGTCGTTGTTTCAATGAAGCTGTGCTCTTTGAAGGATAGACTCAATGATATTAATTATGATGAATGATATATTACGCAATTGGAGAAGCATAATACTAATCAGAGTATATTTTTCAGGATATTCCAGAAGCAATGTTAACTATGGCAGATATCCCAGCATTTCAGAACCAGTACATAAACTCTATATTCGTTTGTGACACATCATTTAGGAGCTCATTTTCTGTCAGACAGAGCAGCGGAATATGAAGATTGCCAAGATAAGTTTTCATGAACATTAAATTCCAAAAAAAAATCATATTTCTATGCTTCTCTGAACATTTCTTCATTAAAAACGACCTTTCGATCATTCATTCAAACAGTCGAGAAATTAGTCGACATTGTTAGTGTATGGAATCACGTCAGGTACCCTTACGAGGGGAGAGTATCAACTTTGGCGTTCGTAATGCCTCTCTACAAAGGAGGGTGTCGCCTTTAAGAGTTAGGTATAAACAGTGGTTTTATACCAGTTCTTTTCCAAATTATTAGTGCACTTTAGGCAATCAACAGTCGTTGTTTCAATGAAGCTGTGCTCTCTGAAGGATAGACTCAATGATATTAATTATGATGAATAATATATTATGCAATTGGAGAAGCATAATACTAATCAGCGTATTTTTTTCAGGATATTCCAGAAGCAATGTTAACTATGGCAGATATCCCAGCATTTCAGAACCAGTACATGAACTCTATATTCGTTTGTGACACATCATTTAGGAGCTCAGTATCTGTCAGACAGATCAGCGGAATATGGAGATTGCCAAGATAAGTTTTCATGAACATTAAATTCCAAAAAAGATCATATTTCTATGCTTCTCTGGACATTCCTTCATTAAAAACGACCTTTCGATCATTCATTCAAACAGTCGAAAAATTAGTCGACATTGTTAGTGTATGGAATCACGTCAGGTACCCTTACGAGGGGAGAGTATCAACTTTGGCGTTCGTAATGCCTCTCTACAAAGGAGGGTGTCGCCTTTAAGAGTTAGGTATGAACAGTGGTTTTATACCAGTTCTTTTCCAAATTATTAGTGCACTTTAGGCAATCAACAGTCGTTGTTTCAATGAAGCTGTGCTCTTTGAAGGATAGACTCAATGATATTAATTATGATGAATAATATATTACGCAATTGGAGAAGCATGATACTAATCAGAGTATTTTTTTCAGGATATTCCAGGAGCAATGTTAGCTATGGCGGATATCCCAGCATTTCAGAACCAGTACATAAACTCTATATTCGTTTGTGACACATCATTTAGGAGCTCTTTTTTTGTCAGACAGAGCAGCGGAATATGGAGATTGCCAAGATAAGTTTTCATGAACATTAAATTCCAAAAAGGATCATATTTCTATGCTTCTCTGAACATTCCTTCATTGAAAACGACCTTTCGATCATTCATTCAAACAGTCGAAAAATTAGTCGACATTGTTAGTGTATGGAATCACGTCAGGTACCCTTACGAGGGGAGAGTATCAACTTTGGCGTTCGTAATGCCTCTCTACAAAGGAGGGTGTCGCCTTTAAGAGTTAGGTATGAACAGTGGTTTTATACCAGTTCTTTTCCAAATTATTAATGCACTTTAGGCAATCAACAGTCGTTGTTTCAATGAAGCTGTGCTCTTTGAAGGATAGACTCAATGATATTAATTATGATGAATAATATATTACGCAATTGGAGAAGCATGATACTAATCAGAGTATTTTTTTCAGGATATTCCAGAAGCGATGTTAGCTATGGCGGATATCCCAGCATTTCAGAACCAGTACATAAACTCTATATTCGTTTGTGACACATCATTTAGGAGCTCATTTTCTGTCAGACAGAGCAGCGGAATATGGAGATTGCCAAGATGAGTTTTCATGAACATTAAATTCCAAAAGAGATCATATTCCTATGCTTCTCTGAACATTTCTTCATTAAAAACGACCTTTCGATCATTCATTCAAACAGTCGAAAAATTAGTCGACATTGTTAGTGTATGGAATCACGTCAGGTACCCTTACGAGGGGAGAGTATCAACTTTGGCGTTCGTAATGCCTCTCTACAAAGGAGGGTGTCGCCTTTAAGAGTTAGGTATAAACAGTGGTTTTATACCAGTTCTTTTCCAAATTATTAGTGCACTTTAGGCAATCAACAGTCGTTGTTTCAATGAAGCTGTGCTCTCTGAAGGATAGACTCAATGATATTATTTATGATGAATAATATATTACGCAATTGGAGAAGCATGATACTAATCAGAGTATTTTTTTCAGGATATTCCAGAAGCAATGTTAGCTATGGCGGTTATCCCAGCATTTCAGAACCAGTACATAAACGTTATATTCGTTTGTGACACATCATTTAGGAGCTCAGTATCTGTCAGACAGATCAGCGGAATATGGAGATTGCCAAGATAAGTTTTCATGAACATTAAATTCCAAAAAAGATCATATTTTTATGCTTCTCTGAACATTCCTTCATTAAAAACGACCTTTCGATCATTCATTCAAACAGTCGAGAAATTAGTCGACATTGTTAGTGTATGGAATCACGTCAGGTACCCTTACGAGGGGAGAGTATCAACTTTGGCGTTCGTAATGCCTCTCTACAAAGGAGGGTGTCGCCTTTAAGAGTTAGGTATAAACAGTGGTTTTATACCAGTTCTTTTCCAAATTATTAGTGCACTTTAGGCAATCAACAGTCGTTGTTTCAATGAAGCTGTGCTCTTTGAAGGATAGACTCAATGATATTAATTATGATGAATAATATATTACGCAATTGGAGAAGCATAATACTAATCAGAGTATTTTTTTCAGGATATTCCAGAAGCAATGTTAACTATGGCAGATAACCCAGCATTTCAGAACCAGTACATAAACTCTATATTCGTTTGTGACACATCATTTAGGGGCTCAGCATCTGTCAGCCAGATCAACGGAATATGGAGATTGCCATGATAAATTTTCATGAACATTTAATTCTTGAGAGAACGAAAGAGGCTTCTACCAAATAACCATCTTTTTCGGAAAATAATTATTAGACAGAATGAAGGAGCAACTTTCTCAAACAAACTAGCCTAACTTGGCCTACATGATCCTTCCATTATCCTCCTTCACCACCAAGCTTTTTCGTAGACAATATACTAGGAAAATCACTTTAAGAACAAAATAACAGAAAGGTTATTGTCTCTCGCATGGACTGAACCCCAGGCTGCAGGCTCAGCGGACTGACTGCTGACGCTTGGCTCACTCTACCATGAGCTCACTTGATATTTCACGTTTGAAAATAGTTATTTATTATACAAGGGAAAAAAGTAGTAGATTTTAGCTCCAGGTTGTTGAGAAAAAAAAACGTGAGCTAAAATCTGATATTTTTCCTGTGTAATATACTATTTTCTGTGACAGAAGAAAGGACGAATCAATATTGACAGGATATTACATTATTTTAAAATCTGAAAATTATCGACGTGAAATTTTAAGTTTTTAACAGTATAGGGACACCTGCGTTGCCTTTATTATTCTTTTGAAGTAATCAAATATCTTATGTCACTTCTGTCAGTCTTATTCTGTGATTTGATTTCAAAAAATTGCGAATTTAGTGGTTGTTTAGCAATATACGTAACCACGAAGTCGAATGGAAGATATAAGGACTTGCAGTTCTTTCTCGGAGACGGTATTATTGACTCATTTTTCGGAACTATAGCACAACCAATGACGGCTAAATATCAAGTAAGCTGCCGACCATTTTAGCCGTCATTGGCACAACAAGAGCCATCAACAGTATATATGTGATATATATCCGGGAAAAAAGTACTCGCTTTTTTCCCACGGGAGAAAAGTAATTTATGAAAAGTGACATTTTTTAACCTGAGATGAAATGCCAAACTTTTTTCTCGTCACAGAAAAACATAATTTAATCTCGTGTCCAGTGCACATTAGTACCTTAAAAGCCAGAATACTGGATGACGGTGCGGGAACTGTCTGCAGGCATTCGTATTTTGAGGTGGCGCTACTTGTGTTTCCTCTTTACGCTGTCAATAGACAACAACTGTCAACATTGTCAAACAGTGCCGACAATGCTGCCAACGCCAACTGCATTTCCAATTTTCATTTTGCAAATGGCCTTTTCCTGTTCACGCTGTTGAGGAGCGGTTGTGATCAACTTGTTTTTCAAATATTTGAGAACATTATAAGGTGAGTTGTTCAATGTTGTTAATTTTTTGCGAATGAGTAACAGCTGATGGCTTCTAAATAAGTTCTAAACATTGATTAAATGTGATATAAATTTTATCAAGATGAGTTAGATGACACGTGTTTGTAAAGAAAAACCATTCCAATTTATTTGAAAAAGCCTTAAAATGATGAGTTACTATTTTTCTGACACCTCTTGGCAGAATAACCCTTGTTGATTCATAGTTATATCTGATGAATAAAAAATTCCAATTATCACATGGGATCTATTAGCTCTTCCTTTGAAGGATCTCAATTTGTAGGTGATACAAAAACATGGATGAGGATTGGTCAACCGAGGTTCAGGGTGGTGGTGCAGTAGCAGCCCCCAAAATCGCAGAATTGCCTGAGATTAAATTATTCTCCAGATGGAACTGTGATGATGTTCAAGTATCAGATATGTCTCTGCAGGTAGGTAGGTTACTTTTTTTTATAATTATTCTCGCCAAATGAATTGAAAGCATCAAAAACCAAGAACCCTATATTTTGAAATTGAAGCATCATGCTTATTTCATCATCATCACAGCTTTGGCATTTATTATACTAGACTGCCAACTAGTTGGCAATCTATACTTTTTTTTGGCTGCTGACCATTCTACAGACTGTACTCTTTGTTTAGGATGCCTACCAGTAGACTAAAATTATCAATTTTAAGTAAGAATAAACATGTTAGAAAACTTCTGAATAAATGTAATATACTTACACAAACACACTAACCGATTGGTGGAGCAATCACTGATCAAAAAAATCTTGTGAACTAACAATAGAGGAAGGAAAAACTTGATTATAAAAAAATAAAATATCAAAAGTGATGTATACACAACCCAAACAGACTTGAAATATGTAAAGAAAGTGATGTATACACAACCCAAACAGACTAACTGATTAGTGAAACTAAAATCTGATGAAAGAAAATAAGATTGAGAAAAAAAATTAAAAAAAACCATGTGGGATTTAAACACAGGACCACAGGATTGACAAGGCAATGTCTAACTACTGAGCTACTAATCAACTTGGATCTTTTTACAGAAAAGAATGTATTCCACTGATTGGTCCACAGTCTAGTGAAAAAGTATAGTTTGCAGACTGGTCAGTAGCCTATTAACTTTCTTTTTTATATGATGAAAATCACATATTTTCTGACACCTCTTCAGAAATACTTTGGTGATATCATTTTCTGATCCTTTATTTTCAACTCCATCATTTTTCAATTTGTTCAAACATTTGTTGAATTCTGAATCCTTTTAGGATTATATTGCTGTAAAAGAAAAGAATGCCAAATACCTACCACACTCTGCTGGTAGGTATGCAGCCAAGTGGTTCCGTAAGGCACAATGCCCCATTGTTGAAAGGTTGACAAACTCCCTTATGATGCATGGTAGAAACAATGGTAAAAAACTGATGGCTGTGAGGATTGTCAAACATGCATTTGAAATTATCCACCTTCTAACAGGAGAAAATCCTCTACAAGTAAGTTGATTCATTATGGAAATACTCTGTTGTTTCTGTTATTATAATTTATTTGATGATTTTTTGTGATATATGTGCCCTTATAGGTTGCATTATTTGCTCAGGTTACTTGAATATGTGAAAAAATCAGAAATTCTGATTACCTACCAGTTACCAGCCTTGAAAAAAATATTTGAAATGGCATCAAAATTACATTTTTTTAATATATCATTTTGCAAATTTTTTAATCCATTGAAAATCTCTTAAAAATACTCCATAAACTATCAAATATCAAATTCTATCAATATTTTATTATTTCCTGACACATTTTTTCAGTAACTTGTTAACTTAATTTCACTTGAATTGCTAAGTTTCAATGGTTCTTTTTGATTATGTTGATTTGTGAATGAACTCACAATAATTTTTTTTTATTCTCATCCAAGTGTTCAGTTTGAATAAATTTAAATTTGTAGTTGGTTCTTGGGTTTGTAGATTTGATAAAAAAAATAGAAAGGGAAGCATTTTTCCACATTTTTCCTTTATATTATGCAAAGAACGCACTGAAAACTTCTGATAAATCAAGAGTCTAGAACCACCAAATGAAAAAGATATTCATTCATACTACTTCAAACATTTGCCTCTCTCTGTAACCAAAATTCTGTACAAATACAGGGTGTTCATTAAGTACTCGTACTTGAAGGGTTGATCTGTGACAACTTTCAAGATAAAAAGTTTATATGAACATGGGTCCCTAATGGTCTAGTTTTTGAGATACAGGTCGTTAAAAAAATATTTCATTTGGCTTTTCCATCATTTTCCTTCAATAGCATGGCATTTTGGGTGCCTCATACTGGATTTTATTGACCATAACTATTTTGTTCCACACTGTATATCATTTGTGACTATGCTTACATATTATCCATTCAATCTTTCATACAAAAGGTACTCTTAGCATATGTTGCTAAAAGCAGCCATTTTTGATAAAAACTGGTTTAGTTGAACTTTTGCATTGGAATTTTAAAAAAATAATCAAAAAATGTTAAGTTGCTGGTATTGTCAGATAACAAACTTGTATCTTTTACAAGACTGAGACTGAACTAGTCAATAATATTTATACCAATAATCTTCAAATAAAACTTTTTCTATGCACTTCTATGGACTTTTTATCTTGAAATCCATCAAAGATCAATTTTTTTTTTAGTTTGTACAAGTATTTAATAAACACCCTGGTATTAATAATATTGAAGGCTGCAGCATTTTTTTTTGTCATTTATGAAAATTTCATAGGCAGTGGTGAATTGAATTTACATTTGCATCATTATTATCTTATTTATTTGTGTGACATCTTCTTAGCTATAACAAAAGAAATATCAATCACATGAAATATCAGTTTGTCAACATCAGGCTATTCTGTTTAGCTGGATGATTTTTGCTTCTCTTTTCTAGTCTCTTCTGATGTGCTGTTTCTTTAGGAACTAGATATTATTTCAAACTCAAAGAGAAAAAACTCAAAGTCGTCTCCACAAGTTTATTGGCGATGTGTGCAGGCAAATCTGAGACATGTTTTGACCATTCACATGGTCATCAGTCAAAGTCCAGAATAAAGGTGATGTGGAAATCTGACCTGAGGTCAGATTCTCAGATGCTGATGGGCCCCAAGTTTTGGGTGGATTGGCCCTGCCTTCCTCCATAAAACATGACTTATTTTTCAAATTGAAATTTAAATATGATCTTCAACAATAAATAGAAAGAATTTTTCGTCTGCATGATGCCATAGCCATTTCCACATCACCTTTATTCTGTACTTTGACTGATGATGACCATTTGAATGGTTGAAGCATGTGTCAAAAGTAAAAGCAGATTTGCCTGCACACATGGCCATTAAACTTGTGGAGAAAACTTTGAGTTTTTTCTCTTTAATCATCCCCTTCCACTTTGAGCATGGACTACTTCAGAAATTTTTTTATTTCAAACCGTTTTCCCAACTGAATTTGCTCTCAGGTAGGGTACGATTAACTATTGCAAAACATTTTTACCCAACTGCTGCACTAGCCCCATTATGATGAAAACAACATTTTCTGACACCTCTTCAGAAATTCCACTGTTGACACTTCAAATTCAAAAAATATATATTCATTACTTCCTCATTTTCTCAAAGGTCCTGGTATCGGCCATAATCAACTCCGGCCCGCGCGAAGTATTCTGTAAGCTGGATGATTTTTGCTTCTTTTTTCTGCTCTTTTCTGATGTGTTGTTTCTTTAGACACTAGATATTATTTTAAACTGTTTTCTCAACTGAATTTGCTCTCAGGTAGGGTACAAATAAGTGGTGCAAACATTTTTTCTCAACTGCTGCACTAGCCCCATTATGATGAAAACAATATTTTCTGACACCTCTTCAGAAATTCCACTGTTGACACTTCAAATTCGAACTGACATTCCTCCAAACTCCCATAACATAACATTGAAAAAAATATATATATTCATTACTACCCCCTTTTCTCAAAGGTCCTGGTATCGGCCATAATCAACTCCGGCCCGCGCGAAGACTCCACCCGTATCGGTAGGGCCGGAACTGTCAGAAGACAGGCGGTGGACGTGTCGCCATTGCGCAGGGTCAACCAGGCCATCTGGTTGCTGTGCACTGGCGCCCGAGAAGCGGCCTTCAGAAACATCAAGACCATCGCTGAGTGTCTCGCCGACGAGCTCATCAACGCGGCAAAGGTGAGGAAATGCAATGTTGCATTTGGAACTTTCTGGAAAGTTGGTTTTGCAATTGAGTGATAAGTTGAGATTATTAATTTAACATTCCTGCTGGCTCTCTTGTCCAGTAAATATGCGAGTCCGTCATTTTCAATGCAAACATTTGAAAGTTACAGAAATGTTATCTGTAAGTTCCATGATTTATTGAAAGTTTGATAAGACCATTGCTGAGTGTCTTGCCGACGAGCTCATCAACGCGGCAAAGGTGAGGAAATGCAATGTTGCATTTGGAACTTTCTGGAAAGTTGGTTTTGCAATTGAGTGATAAGTTGAGATTATTAATTTAACATTCCTGCTGGCTCTCTTGTCCAGTAAATATGCGAGTCCGTCATTTTCAATGCAAACATTTGAAAGTTACAGAAATGTTATCTGTAAGTTCCATGATTTATTGAAAGTTTGATAAGACCATTGCTGAGTGTCTTGCCGACGAGCTCATCAACGCGGCAAAGGTGAGGAAATTCAATGTTACATTTGTAACTTTCTGGAATGTTGGTTTTGCAATTGAGTGATAATTTGATATTATTAATTTAACAACCTTGCTGGCTCTCTTGTCCATTAAATAAGTGAGCTCATCATTTTCAATGCAAACATTCGAAAGTTACAGAAATGTTATCTGTAAGTTTAATGATTTATTGAAAGTTTGATGAGACCATTGCTGAGTGTCTTGCCGACGAGCTCATCAACGCGGCAAATATGAGGAAATTCAATGTTACATTTGGAACTTTCTAGAATGTTGGTTTTGCAATTGAGTGAAAATTTGATATGAATTCAACAAATTAGCTCTCCTGCCCTGTCCTGTATTTGTATTTGTATTTGTATTTGTATTTATCTATAGTGTTACTACATTGTAAAATGTTTACACTCGTCAATATATGTAAAAAAAATCGTTTGATGATAAATAGATAAATGAAAAAAATAAAATAAAGGAAATAGAATAAATAACAATAAACATGATCACATTGGTCAAACAAACATATACGCTTAGTTCTATAAATATCACATTTCAGTATTGTTAACTAAAAGCTTTATAAATCTATATCATGTCATGTGTCAATAAGGCTGTGAATTCCTGAATAGAGTAGAAACATTTTCTGATCAGATATTTTTTAAATTTACATTTGAAGGGCATTAAATTTAATTTCTTCATATCTTCAGGTAATTTGTTGAAAAAAGTCGGACCATAGAAATTGAAACCTTGTTGAGATTTCTGAAGTCTATTTGTAGCAATGACAATATTATTGTTATTTCTTGTATTGTGAGAATGGATATCAGAATTTTGTTTGTATTCAGTCAAGTGCTCTTTCACATAAACCAGGCATCGATAAATGTACATACTAGGCAAACTAAGGAAATTATATTCAATAAATAGGTCTTTACAATGTGCCCTGGGACTTGAGCCTGATATAATTCTAACGGCTTGTTTTTGTTGCCTAAAAAGGTTTTGCATGTTCGCGCTGTGTCCCCAAATCAGAATCCCATATTGCAAGTGACTATTTATGAAAGCAAAGTATGCCATTCGCATCAAATCATGTGATACCGATCTCCTCAATCGCCTCAATAAAAATAGATTTGATGCTAGTTTCTTCGCGAGATGTTCGGTATGAACGTTCCATGTTAATTTGCTGTCGATATGGAATCCTAATAATTTGACTGGGGCAATATTTGTAGTATTTTTCCTAGTTGCTATAGTTATTTTCTGAGTTTTCTCCACATTCATTTTTAGTTTGATTGAAGAAAAATATGTCTCTGCAATTTTTTCAGCGTTATTGGAATATTCATGAACATCATCAATAACTTTATTCTGGTGTATGAAAGTAGCATCATCTGCATAAAGGATAGTGTCAGTGTTCTCCAGTCTACGAGGAAGGTCATTTATGTAAACCAAGAATAATATTGGGCCTAAAATAGAGCCCTGAGGAACGCCATAGTCATTGTTCCTGTGACTTGATCTCTGACCGTTCAATTCAACAAATTGTTTTCTATTCGACAAATAAGAGTCAATAAGTTTCAGAGCCGTACCACCGATTTTGTAGTATTTCATTTTCAATTTCAATATTGAGTGATCTACGCAATCAAATGCTTTGCTCAAGTCGCACATGGTTACATCAATATAAAGGCCTTCCTCTAATGCTGCTGTCACTACTTCTACGAACTTGATCATGGCAAGAGTGGTGGATTTTCCTGTCCGAAAACCAAACTGTTCTGATGAGAGTAAATTGTTGGTTTCAAAATAAAACATCAGACGATTTTTAATTAAAGCTTCTAATATTTTTGATATGATTGGAACTAACGATATCGGTCGGTAATTTGTTGTCTCTGTGATATTCCCTTTTTTATGTAGGGGTTTAACTTTGCTGCATTTGAGGATATTTGGGAAAATTCCATGTCTGAAACACATATTTATGAGATCAACTAGAGGATGAACGATACTGTCGATGATGACTTTCAATAAACTATTACTCATACCAAACATATCCTGAGCATGAGAGGTATTAAAATTTTTTACAACTTCCTTTATTTCATCGATTGTGACAGGTTCCAAAATATTCAAGAAAACATCATCAGCTATGTCAATTGGCTCGCGGAGATAGTCCGGTATATCTTCGAAAGAGATCGTATTCATGATATTCTCTACAATGTTTACAAAGTATTCATTGAAATCTTCTGCTGATGGAGAATCTACAAGTGTAGTTGTTTGCTTATTAACAGATTTATTCTGATTGATGATTTGCCATGCTGCCTTAACTTTATTACTCGAGTAAATAGGTGAGCTCATTATTTTGAATGCTAAAATAAGTTCCATGATTTATTGAAAGTTTTATGAGAACATTGCTGAGTGTCTTTCTGACGAGCTCATCAATGCGGCAAAGGTGAAGAAATCAAATGTTACATTTGGAACTTTCTAGAAGGTTGGTTTTGCAATTGAGTGATAATTTGATATGAATTCAACAGCCTTGCTCTCCTGCCCTGTCCTGTAAATAGGTGAGCTCATCATTTTGAATGCTAAAATTTGAACATTACTTTTGAAAGTTACAGAAATGTTATCTGTAAGTTTCATGATTTATTGAAAGTTTCATGAGACCATTGCTGAGTGTCTCGCCGACGAGCTCATCAACGCGGCAAAGGTGATGAAATTCAATGTTACATTTGTAACTTTCTGGAATGTTGATTTTGCAATTGAGTGAGAATTTTATATGAATTTAGCAAACTTGCTCTCCTGTCCAGTAAATAGGTGAGCTCATCATTTCCAATGCTGCATTGAACATTACTTTTGAAAGTTACAGAAATGTTTTCTGTAAGTTCCATGATTTATTGAAAGTTTGACAAGACCATTATTGAGTGTCTCGCCGACGACCTCATCAACGCAGCGAAGGTGATGAAATTCAATGTTACATTTGGAACTTTCTGGAATGTTGGTTTTGCAATTGAGTGAACATTTGATATGAATTTAACAACTTTGCTCTCTTGTCCAGTCAATAGGTGAGCTCATCATTTTCAATGCAAAATTTGAACATTACTTTTGAAAGTTACAGAAATGTTATCTGTAAGTTCCATGATTTATTTAAAGTTTTATGAGACCATTGCTGAGTGTCCCGCCGACGAGCTCATCAACGCGGCAAAGGTGAGGAAATTCAATGTTACATTTGTAACTTTCTTTTCTTTCATTTATAGTTTTCCATCTAAATGTGTTATGACTTTTCTGATTAATTAACTTTATTTAACATTGTTAATCTCGTCCAAAAAAATATCAAAATCATTGAGTTTTGATATAGTCATTTTTGTCCTTTCTAATCCTACTTTATTTTTCTCATAATATTGTAGTTTCGCTAAGGACTAGAAAAATACAAAATATTACCTTATATGAGACATTATTTTGGTGTCATATAAAAATACATTTTGTGACAGCCACTAAAAACAATGTCTGATTACTTCATCTAATCTTGGTCCTTTCTAATCCTACTTTATTTTTCCATAATATTGTAGTTTCGCTAAGGACTAAATCAAAGCAAAATATTACCTTAGTTGAAACGAAATTGTATCAACTAAAAATACATTTTGTGACAATCTTATACCAAAGTCTGAAAATATTTCTGTCCTTTCCTATGCTGCTCTACTTATGCCATAGTTTTGTAGTTTCATAAAGGGACAATATCATTGCAGAAACTTACCGTAATCACTTTTTTTTGTTGAAGTAGGTTACCATATATTTTTGCAACAATCTTTTTCCCTCACAACCAATCATTATGGGTTTTGTTTCACAAAGTTCTTACTATTAATGTTTGTTGCAGGGATCCTCAAATTCATATGCTATTAAGAAGAAAGATGAACTTGAACGTGTGGCTAAATCTAACCGTTAATTTTTGTATTATATTGTTTTCTGTACCAAAACTACAGAATGAATAAACTGTACTAAGTACCTATCTTTTTGCATTGCTATTATCTAACTACTTGTTGAAAATTACTGAATATTTGATTGAAAGATATCAGCATGAGGGTGTTGAAGATAACTCCAGTGGCAAATCAGTATTGGGGTCCCCCAAGGGTCTATATTAGGACCCCTATTGTTTTTGATGTATATAAACGACCTTGTTTATTCTGATCTTCATGGGAAGATTACCCTCTATGTGGATGATGCAGTTGTGTTTTACTCTGGGCATCAAGATAACATAGAACACCAAATTGAAAGAGTCATAAATACTTCAGAATCTGGCGAGTGCTCAAAACTATTGATGCTTGAACGATAAAAATGTTTGGTACATCAATTTTGGTAACTTCAAATGAATTGATATCACGATAAACTGTTCAATTATTAAAGAGAGTGTTCAATATCTGGGCTTTATTCTATTAAATTTGAATCATCAAAACTATTGATAAAATAAATACTAATACATGAACACAACAATCAAACTTATTCCTAATAACGAGTTTCACTATTACTCAACACAACGGCCAAATAGATTCAAATCTACCAGAACTCAAAGCTCAATTGGCTTAATAACTTGCAAAGCTGTTGAAATCATTAATCCACCTACCAACTGCACTAAAAGAAATAATGATCGTATGAAATCGTTCAGAGAGCAGTGAGCAGTTGTTTGATTTCATTCTTAATAACGACCTGATTTGACAATTTGTGATGTAATTGGTGAAAGTGTCAGCTTTTATACGTTTTTCTAGATTCGTCTACTCTTCTAATAACCGATATCAAAGGATTTTTGACAATAAAAGTGGAAGTGATATTTTCTCAAAATTTATTTACCAACTTAACTGAAAGAAATAATGATCATATATATGAAATCGTTCAGTGAGCAGTTGTTTGATTTCATTCTTAATGACGACCTGATTTGACAATTTGTGTTGTAATAGGTCAAAGCGTCAGCTTTTATACGTTTTTCTAGATTCGTCTACTCTTCTAATAACCGATATCAAAGGATTTTCGACAACAAAAGTGGAAGTGATATTTTCTCAAAATTTATTTACCAACTTAACTGAAAGAGATAATGATCATATATATGAAATCGTTCAGAGAGCAGTGTTTGATTTCATTCTTAATAACGACCTGATTTGACAATTTGTGTTGTAATAGGTAAAAGTGTCAGCTTTTATACGTTTTGCTAGATTCGTCTACTCTTCTATTGGGTATAGGGAAGAGGGGGGGGGATAGGGGAAGATGGTGCAGAAGCAGCATAGGTCAACTAATAACCAATATCAAAGGATTTTCCAGAATAAAAGTGGAAGTGATATTTTCTCAAAATTTATTCAACCATTTCACAAACGATGAGTAATCATGTTGAACTCAGATTTTAAGCGTAACAATGGGGTAGATTCGACCCGTCTCTTGTCTGTATTCCTCCCTAAATGACAATCATCTCTAAGCAGTCTTATGAAAAACACATCTTATGAATAACCCTGTTAGTTCAACTGTGTGGTCCTAAAAGTAGGCATAAGGTTCAGTTGGATTTTCTTATCGAACCCGAATTGTTTTTTAGTGAAAATCTTCGGGTGCAGTAGCAAAGTCCAAGTGAATGTTTTGATCCTCGTTTTATTCTGTGGTCAGTTTCAAGTATGGTTAAATCCCAGTTCACAAAGGGGGAGTTGGATATTTGTACAGGATGTTATAAGGCGTTTTCGGAAACCTACTCGGGTTGACTCGATCCCTAACCTGCACGTTCGTTTACCTAACCCGAGTAACATACCCATGTTCGGAAACTTCGGTGTTACTTACTCGATCACTAACTCGGGTTCATGTTTCGCAACCCTGCTTCAAAGCAGGGTCAGCCAGAGTTACTACCTTAGATCATACACTTACTACCACAGAACTACTCACGATTCGTGTATTTCTAAGGTCACTTCAGATATTATTTGATTTCATCAATTGAACAAGAAGTGAATTATGTTGAATAGCATTAGTTTGATGATGAAAATACACCAACATTATGAGCAGAAGCAATATTCATCATTTCTAGAACAATAACAACGTGTATCTTTTAAGATTTCAGTGGTATGTTTTTAAAGATATAGCAAACTGAAAAAATTGCATACGTGAGAAATCAAGAAGTTCTATTCGAAGAGGTATAAAGCTAACTCAATAAAATAGTAACCTGATAAGTTCGTAAACTATAATATTAGGATAAGTGATCCGACTGATCCATCACGTGACCCGTTCAGATCGAGCCAACAACCCAGAGTAAGTTTCCGAAAACGCCTATAGTATATCCAATATCAATTGCAGAATATCCGGCACTGTGCGGCGTCGGCGTGTTTGAAGTTCCCTTTGAAGTGGCGGCACGAGACTGCAATTGTTTTTGGATAAACTATACTTATACATTTTTTTTTTCCATTGGCCTTTGAGCTTCAGGCTTCTCACTGTTGAATTTTTGACACTTGAAAACAGGGTTAGTATATGATAGATCAATTTGCTGATGGAGAAATTCAACAGTTGATGTTTCCGACATTGTACAAAAAAGTTCTCTTGGATAAACCCAACAGAGCTTCGGAGACACTATAAGTTTCCAAAATGAGCTGGGAAATATGATTATCATGATTATTTTAATAAAGTGTTGTTGAAGGTTCAGTACCAGCTGAGGTTTCCCCTTTTAATTTTCAAATTCCGGAACATTATTTGATTATAGAAAAATGGTGCATATTTTTCTCAAATCAAATCATAATATAATATTGTAAAGTGGATAAATATTCAACAAGTTTCCAACTCCCAGTTTGTTGTGGGTGAAATGATATAGTTTTGTAAGATAACCCTATCATAAGTGAAATAAATAATTTCTTACTTAGAGGAAGTTAACGTTACAACTGGGAAGATCAACTATTTCCTAAGATTGTTTTGATTACTTGAAATATATTTTATCATGAAATAACAAGAAATTCAAAAACTGGCCAACGTTGATGTGATCGTCAGATTGAATAGTAAGGCCTGTGGATATTGGAATGGAGGTTTGGAAGAGGAAAACACCGAATGTAGCGATTTGAACAGTGTGTTTGCAGACTGATCCGGCAGTGATAGATTTGGTGGTTCACGTAATTTGCCGAGGAAAAGAAAATGTTTGATTGGGTTGAGCGTGTTTTTCATTCCATCAAAGAAAGTGCACACTGATAGATGCGGTTTTTAGTCGTGACGTCACCAATTGTTCTGATGGAATTTATGCTGGAACGTTGGAAAAATGGATTATTCAACACTTTGATGGAAAAACGGATTTCGTTGTGTGTCAGTCGTCATGTATCTTCAGAAATAGAAAAGGCTGATACGATTTTATTGATTAACACTTATTTATACTCCATATTCAAAAATCTCAAGATCTCGAAATTCAGAAATTCCACAATATTTTTAATAAATATCCTAAAATTCACTCAAGTGCGCATTTTATTACAACAGTTTGATGGATTTCCATCAACATTCCATCAAAATGTTGTAATGGAAAACGCACCCTTTTCTTTTTTCATATTCAAATGCAATTATCTGAGAAACTAAGAGATATAGAAAGAAACTGATTTCAGTTCCTTCTTCAGCATATCGAGAGCACCCCATCGACCAGTCCATAATCTATAAAGGGGTTTTTCTCCAAATGATATTAAAAGTGGATTTTTAATGACACTTAACAGGCAGAAATGACGAAGTTATACTGCCTAGGTAAGTAATTTGAATCAAATTGGTAATCAAAATTGATAATGACTGGGTGAACAAAAAATGATAGATTATTTGGACTTTGCTTGAAATTGATAAGAATTTCGAGAAAAAAATATATGTTTCACATGACATGAAAATGTAATGCCTTGGCTAGTTTCCTAGCATCGGCTACGCCAGCCGTGGCATTAAATCTTGTACTTTTCTGCCTAGTAAAACAAATAACAATTGTAAGACCCAAAAATCATCTTTGTCCTAGAGCGTTCAGATTTGGTATTTAGCGCCCTTCAGGCACCCTCGATTGCGTACTAGCAGCACAGCTCTCTAGTACCAAGATTTAAAAAATATTTTTTTTTTATAACAGAAACTATGGAAATGCAAAATCAAGTTCATAGTAATTTTCTGGAGACGAATTGAGATGTGTTGAAGAAGTTTTCAGCGATTTTGAGGTTCATTTATTTTTCCTACAATTGTTCGAAAACTATTAGAGACAGAGAAAAACCGATTTTATATTAATGTTAAGCACGTCGAGAACACCCTGTATACAAGTCACATTCTGATCTAGAATTGTCTCAGAAATCCAAAAATGTTACAATATACAGGGTGTTCCATTTGAAAATTTAGAACCGGAGCCATTTCCGGAGAAACCGGAAGTTACCGGAAAGTGAGAAATATGTGAAAACTCTCCTCTTCACATACCATTTACCAATACCAAATCTCATTTTGATACACCTAATGGTCTAGAAGTTATGACTTGTCTAATAGATTCGTTGACACCCGGTATATGTTAACTTGAAAAATATATGCAATATGGTCAGAAGAGTTGTTATTCTTGATTCAGTTTCAGCAGTCTGATAACACTGTTACTCAGAATCTCAGATAGTTGGCCAGTTTGGGTTGCCTCTTGAATTTCTCGCATTGTACAACGTAGAGTCAACAAAACCCTTAAGTCTCTTTTTTTTCTCTAAGGTTCCCCAACAATCCACTACAATACATACAGTAAACAGCACATTACAAAATGAACCACATTCAACAGTTATCTATTACTGAAATTTGTTCCAATAATGGATCAGTGATACAGTCATTGCAAAGATATTTTTCAATACTGATCAACAATTGAACTTTTTGTAAGCACGAAATATTGTATTCATTCCTCAATTCTTTTTCTTCCAGTAATTCCTTGAGTTAACTTGAAACCGGTTGATGCATTTCAATTGTTAACCAGTTTACTATTGTAACATACAGGCATGTTTCGATATAAAAATCCTTGCAAAATGCACATAAAACCGATAGTAAAAAAAGTTGGGGTTTGTAATAGTCGATTTAATACAAATACCTATTTTTTTTTTCATACAAAAATCGTCTTTCAAATTGCACAAAAACGTCACAAACTTAACAAGAACAATAAAAATAAGGTACACAAAATCGCAAATTTTCTCGAACTATACATTATAAAAAGTATCCGCACAACAAAAATTTAAAATAAATTAAAACCTAAAAGGAATAAATAAACCACCTATCATAGGAATTACCGACTACCTATTTTCGTCAACATACACTGCACACTTTGAACAGAAAAACTCTAACAATCAAAGGGACAACTAGAAACATTCATGATTATTTGGCTTTCTGTCAAGAGATGATGCTTGATGATTCTATGAGCTATCTAATGAAGGTGGATGTCAGTCAGTGAGTGTTGGTCCTTATTGCACGTTGGACGGCGATGTCCAATGGAGCCCCAATGGAGTTAGGGGTAACCGTCAAAACACTGAAACAAAATAGTAGATTGTTTTATTAGGATCAAAAGTGACACTTTGTTTGACAAGCGAATTTTGCGAGTCGAACAAAGTCACTTTTGATCCGAATGAAACATGCTATTTTTTCTGCAACCGAAACAATTAACTCAAATAAACATGTGAAGTAACCACCAATGCACAGCATTAACAGCAGGTTAGGTTTTCTAGGATCTTCGAATTGTAGTTTCAATATAAATACAACCACAGAGTGACATATTTGTGTATGGACCAGGTGCTCTAATGGCAAATACCGCGCCAGTGCCACCTATAGGAACAAGACGTGGAAAATGTTAGGTTAGATAGTGAACAATGATAATAGTGATTATTTATTCCTCTCCAAAGGTCAAACTGAGATTTCAACATAAATGGCTGACAAAATTCGATTGGCTTTGTTATTCGGCAAGAGAAAAAGGTGCATTTTCTGAATAGTATATGTTTTTCGCTACAACTGGAGGAATCGGAGGACAAGTAGTAGGAAAATTAGTAAATGAAAAAATGGATAACTGGAAAAAAGCAAAGGAGGTGGATGAATAGCAGAATATACTAAAAATAGTAATGGTCATTATTTCTGTTCAAGCGACCGCGCAAGTGAGGCTTAATGGACATGCTATAAAATCATAAAGAGGTATAGTCGTATCTGTTGAAGAAATTATTGAAGAAATTGCTCTCAAACCAAGGCGCTTAGATTTAATTTTGTAAAGTTCAAAATTATTGTAGTTACCAATAGTCTTGAATAAAAATATGTTTTGAAAAAAAAATATATCCCCCCCAAGGTACACTTCTGGGTACGCCACTGTCGTGGACGCATTAATTTCCAGTAATTTTCACTCCTCTATGTAGAATTACTGGCTATAGTTCTAAGAACTATACTCTGTAGGTCCAAGAGACAAGAAACTCTAGATGACATTTCATAAACTTTCGTTAGATCATCAGCTGACTGAGGTTACGTCATAAAAGGCACCACTCAATGGCGTCATATTATATGATTACCCACGTTTGTTCACCACGGTAACGCCAAAATGACGTTGACAAGACCACGAAATGACGTCTGCCGAGGCAACCATATGACGTTTCAGTGACGCCTTTTTAGTCAGTTGAATGACCAAGAGGTGACGTCAGGAGTTGACGTCGTATGACGTGAATAAGTCACAGCCCAATAACGTCATATTACTCACGTTTATTGACGTCATTCACTCACCAAACTGTGACAAACTTTAAATGCGCACAGTTTGTAGTTCGCGGTCAGTAGATACTTGGAAAGTGCTCGAAAAACTCATCCTCGTTGATCGTTACCACCGATTTTTATCGGTGGTAACGCGTTGATACGGATTTGCAAGCGCATAAACGTTGGTGGCTGAGCGCTTCCATCAATGGTGCATTGAAATTTGTTGCCACTGTAGCACTTCTGAGTCAATAATTTAATCGCCGGTAATGTGTATTACCTGGACATCTCGACGCCGGGAAAGTACAGGGTGAGAAAAATTGGGCGTTTTCACGGGCTATCTCAATAACTAAAGGAGTTATCGAAAAACCGATATACATGTTACGGGTTCGATTTAAGCGAAACCCAAAATGGCACATTCGAAATTTTGATATCTTCATCCGTTTCAGAGATACAGGGGGAAATTGAAAAATTGCCCATTTCGTTTTTAGTTTCTGAGTACTTCATGGTGGGGAATATTGGAGATTTTCGAAAGTTTATTCATAAAGTATGATGCAAACAATCCATTGGCACCATTAGAATTTTTATACAGGGTGACATTAAAAAGATATGGCATCCAATCATATTTTTTCTTGAGGAACACCCCGTATATTTTGGCACAGTTAGATAGTCCCAGGCGTTCCAATTTCAAATATATATATAACTCTACCTTTTTCTTTCACAACTTCAGGAATATTCAAAAATATATTCAGCGTGTCACATTTTTCATGGTTAGACCTCCGTATCTTCCGCAATAATCATTGAGGTTGGATTCATAAATTCGCAACTGTGAGAGAGATGCCAATGATACACTCGAGGACCTAGGGGGAATAACTCCAGTGATAACATTACTCGCCAGCAGCTATGGAATCACCGACATTTCTGGAAAATGCTATCAAGAGGAAGAATATCGGTTGAAAATGACACTCTGTATACATTAACTGAAGGAGGATTTCTAAAAAACCATATATATCGTCGAGATCACCAAAGTTCTGAAGAACTGCTTGAAGACGTTATTGCAGCATTCCAAAAAATGACACCCATAAACTTTACTAACGCAGTGAATTATTCTGTAAGAAAACTATATCAAGTTTGCTTAGGCCAGAACGGAAGATGATTTGAATATCTTCAACGTCACCTTATTCTAATTTCCTAATCATAGGTAAATTATTATTTGTCTTATTTCTGTATCTTGAATAGTTTGAATGTATTGATAACAATGATATCAAATCGAATAATTTCTTTTTTTTTTCTTATCAAATATTAATTTGTCTGGAAATAAAATATTTGAATTGATATTTATTTGGTTAATATATACAGAGTGTGATTTTCAACATATATTCTTCCTCTTGATAGCATTTTCCAGAAATCTCGGTGATTCCATAGCTGCTGGCGAGCAGTGTTATCACTGAAGTTGTTTCCCCAAGGTCCTCGAGTGTATCATTGGCATCTTCCTCACAGTTGCGAATTTATGAATCCAACCTCAATGATTATTGCGGAAGATACGGAGGTGTAACCATGAAAAATGTGACACGCTGAATATATTTTTGCGAATATTCCTGAAGTTGTGAAAGGTAGAGTTATATAAATATATTTGAAATTGGAACGCCTGGGACTATCTAACTATGCCAAAAAATACGGGGTGTTCCTTAAGATAAAATATAATTGGATGCCATATCTTTTCAATGTCACCCTGTATAAAAATTCTAATGGTGCCAATGGATTGTTCGCATCATACTTTATGAATAAACTTTCGAAAATCTTCAATATTCCTCACCATAAAGCACTCAGGAAATGAAAACGAAATCGGCTATTTTTCAATTTCCCCCTGTATCTCTGAAACGAATGAAGATATCAAAATTCCGAATACGCCATTTTAGGTTTCTTCAAAATCGAACCCGTAACATGTTTATCGGTTTTTCGATAGCTCCTTTAGTTATTGAGATAGCCCGTGAAAACGCCCAATTTTGCCCACCCTGTACATGAACTGCCGGGAGAGGTGTGCGTTTAAAATGCAGGGCCGATGGTTGGTGGTTATCAGTGTACAATTGACCATTTTTTAACTAAAATTAAAAAGGGTGTAGATGTTTCAGGTGTGTCGAAACAACTCTTCGACAGACATTTCTGTGAAAAAGTCGAGATTCTTACCGGAATGGCCAACAGTGAGGACTTCGATGGGCAGTGAGCCGCGGCGCCGAACCAGCAGCGCGTCTGCATTCTCTGCGGAAGCACGTTGTTGTTGTTGTTGTTGATGGTGGTGGTGCATCAACAGACGCGAAATGACGTCAGAACGGGACTCTGCCACGCACATAACCGTCTCCGGCCCACCAGAGCTGCGCCTTCAACAAAAAACAAGCTAACAATCGACCAGCACAAAATAACATGAAGCATAGATATATCGAAGACTGGAACCTTTGGCACGATGTTTTACCACTAACCAAACCGATCTTTTAACGCCTCGACACGTGTTTCGCTAACTTTGTTAGCGTTCATCAGTCTGGGTCAAAATTAGGCAATTTATTAGGCAATCCGAAAGATAAAGTGGACACACTTGAAAAGTCGGGAATATACGAAATAAGTTGTAATGATTGTGATAAAACATATATAGGCCAAACCAGGCGACCCATAAAAACAAGGTTCAAAGAACACATAGCCCATTCAAAATATGGCAGGTTAGATAAATCTTGTGTAGCCGAACATATATGTTCAATCACAATCATAACACACATATTACTAACCTCAAATTAGTTAAGCAAGTTAATAATATTAGAAAACTAGACGCATATGAAAGCTTAGAGATATTTAAGAATAGTAATATAGAGTAATGAATAAGGATAATGGACCTATTCCATATAGCCCTCTATAGTTTAGTAAAATAAAAATTAAGATTAACATATGTGAACTCAACCATGACAAACATTAACTTGATGGTTAGTATTTTTCACAGTTGGGTGAACATATACCTAGTATATAAGCAGCACACTAGAATAGGATATTTAGTTCTAATCTTCTTCTGAAGATGCTAACATAGTTAGCGAAACTCGTGTCGAGGTGTTGAAAAATCGGTTTGGTTAGTGGTAAAACAGTGTAGTGTATGAAGCATAGAACATGAAAAAAAAATTAACATGTTCACGATAGAAAATAACATGTCGCCTTCTGAGCGGTTTGCTTTGATGATATGACCAATGAGCACAAACAAAAAACAAATGTGAACCAATGAAAACAAAGTAAACATGCCGCTTTGACAGCTCTCAAAAAATTTCGGTAGGTGGTGTACCGTAAAACGGGGTTACTTTGCATCTCCAGGTAACTTTGCCATGAGTTCGTGACAAATCTAGAAACAATTTTCATTCCTCAGCTGTTAAATGCTAAATGGGAGTGACTTCGCCTAACGTTTCTTCAGGATCCTCTGTATTAATAGATTTCAGATAACTCAATAGGCTGACTTTGGCGAGAGTATTTGTATACTTGGGACAGTTGGTTCCAAAAGTATTTTCTGGAATGTTTCATCTCAATATCTTCATAGTAGTGACCTCAACATACCTATTATCGATAGTCTCACAGTTTTTCAAAACAATATATCGATAGATTAGATTTGGAATGGGGCCTTCGGGCTATCTGCCTCCACACTGCGACCTTTTCAGATCTATTGTGCCTGTCCTCAAAATGGATTAGAGTTCTTCGGCTAGCCCCGCCTTCTCTATGAGACTCCTTAGGCTAGCTTTCAGATCTCCTGTGTATCTCAGGGCTCCTGGTTTTTCCTCACCCAGCGTAAGGAACCTTAGTCTTGACAAGCCCTCACAGTGGCAAAGTATGTGTACTGCTGTTTCTTCCTCTTCTTGACAGAACCTGCACAGCAGTTCTTCAGTCAGACCTATCGTACTCATGTGTTTCTTGAGCCTACAATGCCCTGTGAGAAGTCCCACTAGTATTCTAGTTGAACTTCGTTTCTGGCTTAGTAGATATTCTGTGAATTTTGGCGATGGTTTTTTAATAAACTCTTTTGCCTGTCTCATTCCTGGCGAGTTGTTCCACCATTCTTGAGATTTAGTTTGCATCGATGATTTGATACTAGTCTATATATATCGATAACTTGACGAATTTTTGGGTGAAGGCAAAGTTCCACGATATATTTTTTTCAATTTCGTGCATGGTTACTTTGCCATACATGTATGTCATGATTTGTAAGTGCGTAACATATCTAGGGAGTACAAAAAGTACTAAGGAATCGTTACTATTTGAATTACACTACTAAAACATTAGTTTGACGTCAAACTTAAAAAGGTTAAGGTCCCTCGTGCTCTTCCAGGACCTGAACTAAACAAAAATTTTAAAATGTATTTTTGGAAAATAACCTATATTCTGCCTCTTTATAGCATTTTCCAGGGATGTCGGTGATTCCATAGCTGCTGGCGAGCAGTGTTATCACTGGAGATGATCCCACTTGATCCTGAGTGTATCATTGGCATGATACCTCAATGATTATTACGGAACATACAGAGGTGACACCATGAGAAATGTGACACACTGAGTATATTTTTGCGAATATTTCTAAAGTTGTCGAAGAAAAAGGTAGGGTAATATATATATTTGAATATGGAATGCCTAGGACTATCCAACTGTGCCAAAATATACGGGGTGTTCCATTAGAACAAAATTAAATGACTGCCGTATCTTCTTGATGCCAATGCCAATGGATTCTACGCATAATTCTATACAGATAAAAATTTGAAATTTTCCAATATCTAGCTACATGAAGTACTCAGAAAATAAAAACGAAATCGGCAATTTTTCAATTTCCCCCTGTATCTCTGAAACGAATGAAGATATCAAAATTCCAATTGTACCATTCGAGGTTTCTCTAAAATCGAACCCGTAACATGTATATCGGTTTTTCGATAACTCCTTTTGTTATTGAAATAGCCCGTGAAAACGCCCAATTTTGTACACTCCGAGAAAAAAAATCACATCACACCCACCTGCGCAGCTGCTTGTTGCGACGTCCCCCCGCCTTGCCGTTGAGGCTGGTGTGACGCGTGAGGGCGTGGCCGGCGAGGGGCGGCAACGCCAGGGGGGCGGAGCCTCGACGCTGGCACTGCCAGAACGAGCGGGACGTCTCCACGGGCGTGATCAGCGGCTGGCGCATCAGGTCGTCATCGTAGTCATACGGTTCTGGAACACATATATTATTTACTAGCTAGCCCGGCAAACGTTGTTTTGCCATAAACATCATTTCTGGAAAACATTGTATACAGCGTGTCTCACTTTAAACGGTCCCCCCTCAATATCTCAGTTATTAGTCATGCGATTCCAACCAAATCTGGCGTGGTATGAATAATAACCATCAATATGATCAGTTTTACAGAGATGCACATTATTTTCATTGTTCCTCATGCTTTACAACCTCCATATGCAAAAAATCACCTAATTCCGAATTAACAGGATTGGCTCCCTTTTTTACATTTTCAGTCTCGAATAAATGGTGACTTCAAATCAAATACGAATTTTGGAACGTTCAATGGCTCTGGTAGGTGGAAAATCATGATAGGGAAGAAAAAACGGGTTATACATTTTTATGTTGAACTCACCGTTTCCGAGTCAATAATTATTACGTTGGCAAAAATACTGTTTAGATGTGCATGTTTTTCTGAAACCCTTCATAGGAATCTTATGAAAATCCACATATGTGGGTTTGAAACCATGAAGAACAATATTATGAGGTCAATCTTACTGTGAAAACATGCCTAATATGATTTAATAAAAAACTGACACCTATATTCATTTCAATAAAATGCACGGCACTGTCTAAAATGATGTTTGTCTTTGAAGAACTGGTCATATTGATGATTATTCATAACGATACAAATTTGGTAAAGATCGCACGACTGATAGCTGAGACATAGGCGTTTGAAATGAGACACGCTGTAGATAAATATTTTCTACTTCTTTTTAGTTGGGCAATTCATTTTTTCAAACAACTCGCTTGATTTTCTACTCCCTTCTTTTCAGTTTGGCTATCGATAAAAACGTGTTTCATTAGTTTTTCAAACTACTATTCATTACTATAGCTGATACCCGGAAAACGTTGTTTTGCTATATACATTTATTTCCAGAAAATATTTTTTTTAGTTAAATATTTATTAGCACACTATTATTATATTGTTTTCTACTTCTTTTTAGGTTGGCTATCCAATACATTGTGTTTCATTAGTATTTCAAACTACTATTTTTATTTTCTACTTCTTTTTAGTTCGACAATCTATCTCGTATTTCAAACTATACTATACATTTTTTACTTGTTGGGCCACGAGTTTTGCTATCCATAATAGCGTGTTTCATTATAGTTTATCAAACTAATATGTATTACAAAGCCCTTTCGCCATATTCGATCCGCCATCTTGAATTTCCCAATTTCAAAGAATAATATCATAATCTCCACTCCGAAAACCCACAGATACAAATTTTGAATAGGATCGGATCAAAGTTACAAAACTCGTCCACCATATTGGATCCGCCATATTGAATTTTCGATTTAAAAACTAGATTACGACCGATTCTCATATCTACCGAAGCCGTTCCGTGACTGGGACTGGAGCATTATATGTATTAGATTTTAATACGCTTATATTAGATTTGGTATGTATATGTTTGTTGATGGTTTGCATGTAACGCGGAATCTACGAACGTGATTTTGCCCCACTTCAATATGTCGAATTGGATTGATACTTCACACACCTATCAACATCTTAAGGATGAGCGATCTTTTTTTCGAATAAAATGGTGAATGATTTTCCACCACCAAAATTTCAAAATGTTCCAACACCAAATATTGAAATGTTCGTTTCTCCTTGGAATAACTTCCCACTGTTTTTTTTTATATCTAGAAACACGGCTGTGTCTTACACCAAGAACTTGTATGGTATGTATGGTATGGTATGGTAGGTATGAATATTTACATCCAGTGAGACCGTAATTTTGAAATTCAATTTTCAGATGTCCCCACAAACAATTCGGAAACATTTTATGTCACAACTGATATCTGTTATTTCATGTCTGTGTTTTCACGCAGTCGCAAAAATAAATTTTGGTCGAATGCCGTATTCACCGTTCAAAACGAAGGGTTGCTGTAAACTGTAGAAAATGCCTCAGGTATTTAAATAAATCCCTACAAATCGAAATTTTGATGAAAATTCGTTCAGAATTTCGTTTTTGAAATGTTGACGTGTCTCTTGAATTTTTAGGAAAATCTTCCACCTCTCTGCTAATGAATTCGAACTCTCCACGTGTGTATATAAAAATAGGTATTACTCACGATAATGAGCAATTTCAATTGGCACTGATCCTCGTCTCAAAGAGTGCGTGTCAGATGGCATCAACCCCCCGCCTGCAGGAGGTTTGTTTTCATCTGGCTTCGATAAAGGAAGTGTCACTGGAGCTGATCCCCTTCGTCTCGCCAAACTCTAAACCAGAAACAAAAATCAGTAATGGCAGTTTACATACATACATCAACTTGTATCAACCCAGAATTGGAATTACTCAATATTCAATTTATTTTAATAAGTTCTCTCTTCTACCTTTATATATAGTTATATAAACATCTAGATTTTGAAAATAAGGATAATCTTTAATTATCCTCATCTTTAGCATTATCCTCGTCATTAAAATGATTCATTATGAAAGTTAACCATGTGCGAGTGTATTTATATCCATTACATGAGCGTTGCATACCATATTTTTTCTACGACCATGAAATAATAAAATGATAACGAAAATCCATATCCTAACAAATACATTTTTTGAAAAAAATTTGATGTATTTTCTACTTATCGAGTCCATGAATTACCTGTATAATTTTTCATATATTTTCTCATTTCATTGGATCCTTTTGCTTTATTAAAAACTTCTGATGGTCTATTTTTTAAATGTTATTGTGGTAGTGAATTTAAGATTTCAGGTGTTGTATATGAAATGTGCTTTTATGTTGCAAAAATTTTGCATTTGAGGCAATAACATTTGAACATCGTTGAATAGGCTATTATAAAGTTATTAAACAAGCTTCTGAATTCAAAAGCAAAACGCAGTATGCTTTTATTATACATTTTTTGTCTATCATTTGAAGAAAGGGAAGGGGGAATGTCACAAAAAGTAAGTTTCGAGAAAAACGCATTTGAAAGTTTAAAACCTCCTCACTTTTTGGAAGTTGAAGGAAACTGAAATCAAACCACCTGGATTCATTTGATGGAGTATAATGAGCAATAAAGTTGAACAACTAGATATAAAAATCATATTTGAATGGAAAAATCATCGAAAACAAAAAATAAGTCCAAAGATTCTAGGGAAAATTGGGGAATGTCCAAATGTCAAAAAACTGGATTGTTTTCTCGCAATTATCTGCTCTGGTACATTTCTCCATTCTTGCCTGACTAGTAAGTTGTCATATAGTGCAGCTAGCATCTCTATAATTTGATCATTTTCTATAAATTCTACGCAATATGAGTTGGAATCATCATGTAGCAATCTCATTATTTTCGAACAACTTTTTAGCAAAACTCGTTTATACATAGAACGGCAAAGCTTTGAAATTTTTTGCCTAACAGAGTATTCCCAAGAACTTATAATCTCCATAATTTGAAAATATCCCAATACCTACCTGAGAGTTCACTTTGACCTTATGACAGTGTGAAAACAACCTGTTAAAAGCACAGTGGAATATGTATTCAAGCAAGCACTAAGATTGGACGTTCCCCCTTTCTTCACATTTTTGAAGTGGACGTTTTTTCCATGTGAACGTATTTTCGAACAAGCATATTAGCTGACTAAGCTGCGCGTTATTGATATGGACTTCTTTTTATACTAAAATATAGTGGATAGACTATCAGATGGAACATATAACATTTCGTTATCAGATGACGGTCGAAATTTGCGTTCCTACTATAAGGGTTATCCGGCAAAACTGTTGGATTTTTGACTTTGACATTGACCTCACGTTTTAGTAGCGCTAACTGGTGCGATTGAAAATGTTAACCCTCATTGAAATTAAATGTTAATCGAGTATGTCAACATATGGAGACCACTAGATCATCCCCAAGTAAGATCCAATATGCTGGAAATTCGTTTCATAATGAAAAGTGAGTGTTTTCATCGGCCAAGATCTGCATCGAAACAAAAATCCGTGTCAAAATCAACAGGAAAAACTAAATAATCGCTCACCGTCGTCGCCGATCTCCTCGGATCGACGTTCTCCTTCTGCTGCCGCTGCTCCGGCTCGGACAGCTTCACCATCTTGCACGTCTTCTCCTTGCCGTCCGCCGCTTCCGTCTCGCGCTTGTGATTGGCCGGCGCCGGCCGCTGGGGCGCGGCCGGTCGGGGTGGGGGAAGGTCTTGAACGATCGCATCGAGCGGTCGGCCGTCATTCGGGCTCAGCACCGCTATGGACGGGATCGTGTACTGCGGCGCGCCGTTCGAGGTGGTTGATATGTGTTCGGGGGAGCCGTGTGAAGAGGTCGACCGACTGTCTTCTGGGAAATGGTAATAGATGGGTTGTATTAGGGTTACACCCACGAATATTTATGTGAAAGTTCCACACCACCCAGTCAACAGATGACGAATGATCACGTTACTGTGAAGTCCCTAAATGATGAAGGGTAAAGTATGACGTCAGTTTCATGACGTTGCAGGGACGTCCTGTCGACATCCATGTTTTTCAGACCATATCTAAACTATGTATGATTACATTATCATGTGAAAACGTTACGTTTGTGACGTACCTATATACAGGGTGGTCCGTTTTTTAATACGGAAAATTTAACAGAGTGAAGTACTCGTTGAAATAATGAAAAAACTTCCTATGAACATATAGTTTTAAACGCTTCGTTTTTGAGATATTGGGTGTCAAAAATACGCTTCTGAATATATTTTTTTATTCAAAAGTTAGAAACGGTAGATAAATTAACGAAATTTTTCACAGATACTGAACTTTTTGAGCTTTATTAGATTAAATAAAAATTATTCATAAAAACTATTCAGTGGCGGCTGAATCTGGGGTGGCGAAGGTAATAATTACACAAATTTTTCGGGTAATTATTTTTCATTTATTTTTCAAGTTTCAATGAAAAAAGCTCGCTTGTAAGATTTTATAACATTTTTTAGTTAAATAATACTACTTGATATCAATTGAAGAAGTAGGCTATGCTCAGTTGCTCACTCACTGTTTATATGTGCTGTCACTCTGAAAGTTCTGTCAAAGAAATAACAAACTCGATTTATTCCGTGTTTTTATCAAAAAGTGTGATAATTTCATTCCAATTTTGCCGTTTGTCAATATGCCTATGGGATTTAGTACTGAAGAGTATGCAGATATTCATTTCGTTTACGGATTTTGTAATGGAAACGCAGAGGCAGCAGTTCGAGAATACAGAAATCGCTTCCCTAGGAGAAGGGTACCTAATGCACGAGTCTTTATCAATGCTCACTCACGTTTCCGTCAGTTTGGATTACGTGGCAATAATGAACAATACCGAAATAATGGCCCACTGAGAAGAAATGATAACAATCACATTCTTAGATTTTTTGATGTTAACCATCATCAATCATTTCCTGAAAAGCAGCTCAACAGTTGCAGGTAATTTATAAACTAATATCATGTCATGCTTTTAGTAATTTTGGTTCTCTTTTTTCGTTTAATACTAGTTATCAGTTTATACTATTGCACGCATGAATAAAAGTAATAGTTCCGACTTTTTTTCAGGTTTCAAAATCGAAAATTTTACGAACACTACATTTAGATCACAGGAAGCCTTTTCATTTGATGCCGGTACAACATTTACATCCTGAAGATCCTGAGAAGAGAGTGTCTTTTTCGGAATTTATCTCAAATAAAGTTGACAACAATAACGACTTTTTACATAAAGTCTTATGGACTTGAACACCCTATATCTCGAAAAATGTTCATAGGAAGTTTATTTATTATTTCAACGAGTACTATACGCTGTTGAATTTTCCGTATTAAAAAACAGACCACCCTGTATACAGGATGGACATTTTCAGTGTCGAGAAGTTTTCAGAAAAAATCGTTTTTCCATTAATTTTACACAACAACACTCCTGTATCTTACGTAATCGTTGGGTAAGGATCCAAAAATTTGCTGGAGCGTAAGATATACCCAAAATGCACGCTATGACCAAGTGGGGTTATTTTCAGTGATATACACTGCTCGCCAACAGCCATGGAACCACCCCAATATTCGTCAAAATAGGTCGAAAAACACGTAATTGACTTTATCTTTGGACTTTCCCTTCCTCCTGCAAATTTCAGAACACTACCTCAATAATTACGTGAGATACGGGGGTTCTGCCATGGGAAGTGAGACAAAATTCAATTTTTCTGAACTGAAAATTTTCACTGGTGAGTGAATGACGTCAATAAACGTTATTGATATGACGTCATTGGGCTATGACTTATTCACGTCATTTATCACGTCAACTCCTCTGACGTCACCCTGGTCATTCAACTGACGTAAAAAGACGTCACTGAAACGTTATCTGGCTGCCTGGGTATAGGTACGTACATAGAAGTTGAAACACTAACGACTATTTCATTGCATTATTTTCGACTATTTCATTCACACTCGGCTGGACCTATGAAATGTCATGATTGAAGTCACATGATATGCGATATCAGTGGCTATTTAGGTAAACAAACAATATGAGAGGCTATTCTGTTCGCCAGCATAAGAGTGCTATGGTTGTCAAACTTTGACATACCTATCAGACACTCAAAAATTGAAATGTCTCGTTTTGCGTCGATATCAGAAAATTTCAAGGAGAGTAAAGAGTCTGTCTGGAACAGTTCATGTTTTTTTGCCATCAGAAAAACTATGAATTTTGTGCGACTACCCCATCTCTCGTGATTGCCCCAATCCTAAAAGATTGGGTGAGGAGAATGGTGAGGAATATTAGGAATACACAGTTTAAATTCAAATGGAAAACTATATACAGGAAGGTTACTTCAATGAACATAAACGTAAGGCAAATCCATTCGAATATATCGAATTCAAAGGTGCCAGGGTTGCGCATAATGCAAAAAGGCGAAGCCTACAATATTTTCCTCAAACAAGAAAGGAAAGTACAGAAGCTCTAATCAAAGAATATCAACGCTATCAATAGCGTTAATATTCTTTCTTTGCTCTTACTTTAGATGAATTGATTACAATTGTACGTAGATATGATGAGAATACCCCAGACGGCCTTCAGAAGAATTTTTATTCAGATAGTATCTGCAGCATTGTAACTTGAATAAAATGTTGAAACTCATATAAACCAGTATTTTTACACTGTTCATGAAATAATCTTCCTGAATATCACTCAACCATGACAAATGGAGACTATTATTTTCTCTAATTCATCTCGAGTAACTTGTATTTTGGGACAATTCATCAAATAATCATAGAATAACTCCCTCGAGCTAAAGCTCTCGGAAGTTATTCAGATCAGATTCAGATCAAATTGTCAAAATACAAGGTACTCTCGATAGAATTATGGAGAAAATAATAGTCGGCTATTTGTCATGGTCTCGGGATATTACCCACGAATGTCACCGACCTTCGTACGGCGTCTCGTGGCAGGCGCTCATCTCGGCGGTGGCCGACATGTAGCGCATGCGGTTGTAGGGCTGCGGCGGCGGGAACGTCTGCTGCCTGGTGAGACCCTTGCAGGGCGCAGGCGCGGGCAGGCCCTGCAGCACGGAGGTCAGCCTGCCGGCCGACTCGCTGCTGCTCGTCATCGACGCGATGCTCGGCTCGGGCAAAAGGGTCTCAGCGCTCAACGGCCTATCCGGCCTCCTGCCTTCTGATGAATACAGAGAGATGGTTATATTGTGGAATCAGATTGGATTTCATGGAATTTGTTAGTGATTTCTATGAGAGAAATTGAACAGAATTGATGGATTTAATTTCAGACTAGAAAAGTATCCGCCAACAATCCTGAACTCCAAACACGGGTAAATGAATGAAATCGCCAATGGTGGTGTTACTGCCGATTCGCTGCTTTTCGTCATCGACGCGATGCTCGGCTCGGGCAAAAGGGTCTCGGCGCTCAACGGCCTATCCGGCCTCCTGCCTTCTGATGAATACAGAGACATGGTTATATTGTCGAATCAGATTGGATTTCATGGTTTTTTTAGTAATTGCTAAGAGAGAAATTGAATAGAATTGAGGGGTTCAATTTCAGACTAGAAAAGTATCCGCCGACAATCATAAACTCCAAACACGGATGAGTAAATAGAATCGCCAATGGTGGGGTAACTCTGCCGACTCGCTGCTGCTCGTCATCGACGCAATGCTCGGCTCGGGCAAAAGGGTCTCAGCGCTCAACGGCCTATCTGGCCTCCTGCCTTCTGATGAATACAGAGAGATGGTTATATTGTGGAATCAGATTGGATTTCATGGAATTTGTTAGTGATTTCTATGAGAGAAATTGAACAGAATTGATGGATTTAATTTCAGACTAGAAAAGTATCCGCCAACAATCCTGAACTCCAAACACGGGTAAATGAATGAAATCGCCAATGGTGGTGTTACTGCCGATTCGCTGCTTTTCGTCATCGACGCGATGCTCGGCTCGGGCAAAAGGGTCTCGGCGCTCAACGGCCTATCCGGCCTCCTGCCTTCTGATGAATACAGAGACATGGTTATATTGTCGAATCAGATTGGATTTCATGGTTTTTTTAGTAATTGCTAAGAGAGAAATTGAATAGAATTGAGGGGTTCAATTTCAGACTAGAAAAGTATCCGCCAACAATCATAAACTCCAAACACGGATGAGTAAATAGAATCGCCAATGGTGGGGTAACTCTGCCGATTCGCTGCTGCTCGTCATCGACGCGATGCTCAGCCTCCTGCCTTCTGATGAATACAGAGAGATGGTTATATTGTGGAATCAGATTGGATTTCATGGAATTTTTTAGTGATTTCTATGAGAGAAATTATCTTCTATCCAGCTGAATACGACGTCAAACATTGAACAGAATTGAGTGGTTCAATTTCAGACTGAATAACGATAGATAGACCGCGATTCATTCATGAATTACTGAAAAGTATCCGCCAACAATCATAAACTCCAAACACGGATAAATGAATGGAATCGCCAATGGTGGGGTAACTGCCGATTCGCTGCTGCTCGTCATCGACGCGATGCTCAGCTCGGGTAGAAGGGTCTCGGCGCTAAGCGGTCTATCTGGCCTCCTGCCTTCTGATGAATACAGATAGAAGGCTATATTGTCGATTCAGATTGGATTTCATGGAATTTTTTAGTGATTTCTAAGAGAGATATTATCTTTTATTCAGTTTAATGCGACGTTAAACATTGAACAGTATTGAGTGGTTCAATTTCAGACTGAATAACGATAGATAGACCGCGATTAATTCATGAATTATTGAAAAGTATCCGCCAACAATCATAAACTCCAAACACGGATGAATGAATGGAATCGCCAATGGTGGGGTAACTCTGCCGATTCACTGCTGCTCGTCATCGACGCGATGCTTGGACTCCTGTCTTCTGATGAATACAGAGAGATGGTTTTATTATGAATTCACTTTGAATTTCATATGGAATTTCATAGTGATTCTCGAGAGAGGAAGTTTCCTCTATCCAGGTAATGCCACGAATCCTTTCAATGAATACACCCAATTCATTTTTTCTGAGTAGAAACAACAAATTCATCACGTTACTTCTTGAGTGATCCAATCTATTCAAGAGAATAAATAACAAGTTTGATAATATAGGGTTGCGGCAATATTAAATGTGTCTGTGACATTGCTGGAACGTTACATTAATAAATTTTACATTTTCAATTTTGCTGAACTTATTGGGTTATTAAAATTGAATCAATGCAAAGGACAAAGTTTGAGAATCGGACATCACATAATTAGAAAGTCTATTCAAAATCGTTGGTCGGTCCTTACCTGACGAATGCAGCGGGCTGCCATCCGAGCCCTCCGACCCCGGCGACCCCCACCCCAGCAGCTCCTCCTCTTCCTCCCGCAGCCCGCTGGAAGCCCGCGACACCGCCTGCGGGCTGACCGGCGATCGCCCCGCCCCCAGCCCCGCCCCTCGGCCAGTGGGCAGGCTCTCTCTGCGGTGAATGGTGCGAGGCAGGGGCGGGGGCGTGTCCGTGTGGGCGGGGACGGAGTGCCGGCGCACGCCCAGGGATTCGGGCGTGGGCACGGCCAGAGATTGTCTGCGGATTTCTCTGCAAGAAACCATGAGAATTTAAACTGATTGGAAAGATGCATGAAGATATGCAACATATTTTCTTGTTAATGTCAAGGGCGTACGCAAATTTTTTTCCAAGGGGGTCAAAAATTAAAAAACCTGCATAAGGCTCCTGGACTCACCCAATTTCTGGCATTTGTATGGCATGAAGAAAATAAGTGAGAATCACAGCTTCAGGGCAATACCAATTAATTTTCTGAGTGGTTGAGGATGATGATTCCTGCATTTCTTTGAAACCATCAAATAAATTAATCAATATTACGAGGTCCACAGTAATACACGTCGGAATTTCGATATTTATCAAAAGCCATCAGATGAATTAATCAAAAGCACGAGTCCAGTGGCGTACCTGATTTTTTTATAAGGGGGCCCAAAATTGGAACATGTCGAAATTTCGAAATTCCATCGAAACCATCGAATAAAAAATTGGAATAAAATAATTGGGTGTACGCAAAAATTTTCCAAGGGGTCAAAAATGAAAAAAATCTGCATAGGCACCTTGTCGGGAGCAGGATATTTCTCAGAAGTCATCAGAGAAATTAATAAAAATCAGGAGTTCAGTGGCGTACCTGATTCTTCTCTAGGGAGGTCATGATTGAAAAATGTTTGAATTTCGAAATTCCATCGAAATCGTCGAAGGAATAACCGAAATTGCATAATTGGACGTACGCGAAATTTTCCCAAGGGGGTCAAAAATAAAAAAAACAGCATAGGCAACTCGTCGAGAGCAGGATATTTCTGAGAAGCCACCAGAGAAACTAATGAAAATCACGAGATCAGTGGCGTACCTGATTCTTCTCTAGGGTGGTCAAAATTGAAAAATGTTGGAATTTCGAAATTCTATCAAGATCATCAAAGAAAAAAAGTAGAATTGCATAATAGGGTGTACGCGAAATTTTTTCAAGGGGGTCAAAAAAATCAGCATCGTCGCAGGCTGGTTGATATCGTGCAATGAATATCAGAACTTCAAGGATGCCATCTCAGTGGCGTACCTAATTTTTTCATGGGGGTCAATAATATAAAAAACAACATAGGTACCTCGTCGCAGGGGGGTTGATATCGTGCAATGAATATCAGGACTTCGAGGACGCCACCTCACTGGCGTACCTACTTTTTTTTGAGGGGATCAAAAATGAAAATTGTGAGAATGAAATTCCATCGATTTCTTCAAAAATAAATTCGGAATTGCATAATAATAGGGCGTACGCAAATTTTTTCCAAGGGGGTAAAAAAAAACTGCATAGGCACCTCATCGAGAGCAGGATATTTCTCAGAAGCCAGCAGAGAAACTAATAAAAATCACGAGATCAGTGGCGTACCTGATTCTTCTCTGGGGTGGTCGGAATTGAAAAATGTTGGAATTCCGAAATTCCATCGAAATCATCAGAGGAAAAACTGAGATTGCATAAAAGGGCGTACGCGAAATTTTTCCAAGGGGGTCAAAAATTTAAAAAAACCTGCGCATATACCTCGTCGCAGTGATCAAAAATGAAAGCATCGAAAATAAATTCTAAATTGCATAATAGGGCGTACGCGAAATTTTTCCAAGGGGGTCAAAAATAAAAAAAATCGCCACAGGTACCTTGTCGGAGGTGGGATGAAATCGTGCACACTCGGCGTCCCCGAGGACCGCTTCGGCGAGCCGTCGTCGTCGTCGCTGACAGCGACCGACGCCTCGACGCTCGTCTCCCCCTCCAGCTCGGCCGCCTCCAGCTCCCTCCACCGCCGCTGGTTCTCCTCCAAGGTGCGCATCATGCGCGTGGAGAGGCGGCTGTGCATGAAACGGTGCCATTCGGTGAACAGGGGCGTGACGACGATCTTGAAGAAACCTGGAAACGAGTTTTTTGAAAAAATGTAACAATCCGATGTTTTCACATAAAACTCAATTTTTTCCATGTACACCTTGAGTTCTCATTAAAAATGGAAATAATAAACTTTATACACTATTGGGCGTAAAATAGCACTTTACTGCCCGGTTATATGGGCGTGAAGTGGTACTTTAGCGCTCATGGTCTACTTTACCGCCCAGCGAAAAACCTACTTATTGTATAGGCACCTAACTCGTAATACGCGGTCCTGTATAATTTTATTTTTCAATTGTAATATTTCCCTATCTGCTATTTCGCAGTTCTCTTGATATTTCTTAGATGCAAACTGATATGATTGAACTCACAAACCACAAATAACAAAAAACTGACAGAAAATGTCTAATTATTCCAATTTCGAAAAATTTACTACCTACGTTGATATACCATATACAGGGTGATCCATGGTGGATGGCCTATTAGAAGTATCTGGAGAACGAAAAGACAGAACATTCTGAAAATTGGGATGCTCTGATAATTCAACATTCTCTATCAGTCTAAAATATTTTCATCGATACAGTGTTGCCACTTCTATCAGAAACAACTAGCAACTTTGTTATTTCAAATGGAACACCCTATATTTTATTGCATTCTTAGATTCTTCTCGAAGAGCTGATTTCATCAACGTATCACACTTGGGGTCGAGCAGGAATGATTACAGAGATATAGGGTGTTCAAAATCGAGATTTTTCAATTTTAGGATTTTTTTGTGTCGAAACTATTCATAATCGATCAAAACGGCTTACATGTCCCTATCTTAACTCTTGATTGACTATCTACTGAAATTTAATTGGAAAAAATTCAGGGTGCTTCAAGATTCAGAATTCTGATCACCCTGTATCTGTTCCAATTAAATATCAGTAGATAGTGAATCGAAAGTTAAGATAGGGACATGTAAACCGTTTTGATCGATAATGAATAGTTTCGACACAAAAAAAATCTTAAATTGAAAAATCTCGATTTTGAACACCCTATATCTCTGTAATCATTCCTGCTAGACCCCAAGTGTGATATATCGATGGAATCAGCTCTCCAGGAAGAGTATGAAAATGATATAGAATATAGGGTGTTCCATTTGAAATAACGAAGTTGCTAGTTGTTTCTGATAGAAGTGGCAACACTGTATATCGATGAAAATATTTTAGACGGATAGAGGATGTTCAATTATCAAAGTACCCCCATTTTCAGAATGTTCTGTTCATTCGTTCTCCAGATACTTCTAATAGGCCATCCACCGTGGATCACCATGTATAGCTGTCTTGCATAAAATTTATGTATTTTGGGCGAAGCTTGCATCTATGGATCGTGGCGTGTTAATACCTCTTACTTACACGATACGGTCCATAAAAGATTATTTTACGGCCTTGATACATAAATAACTATTATGTAAGCCCGGACGTGAAGTAGCACTTTACTGCCCGGTTTTGCGGACTACTTTATCGTCTGGCAGGCGCCTGAAGCAATCAATTGTTCACCTTGATAATCTCACAGAAAATACGTTGATATAAAAGGAAATATGGGATATATACACATGTACGAAGGGAGCAATAGGAATAGGGTAAACATAAAAAAAATCCACAAAAATCTAAACCAATCAACTCCAAACTTTTTTTAGGAATCCTGATATCCTATGAGCATCACAAAAGACAAAGTGATAATTTGAAAACTGTTAAAATAAAAAACCAATTTGGGAAAAAATCATCACAGTCTAACCAACAGAATGAAACCTTGGACCTTGGCGTGTTAATAGCTATTACTTACACGCTACGGTCCATAAAAGTCTATTTTACGGCCTTGATACATAAATAACTATTATGTACGACCGGGCGTGAAGTAGCACTTTACTGTCCGATATTGCGGACTACTTTATCGTCTGGCGGGCGCCTGAAGCAATCAACTGTTCACCTTGATATTCTCACAGAAAATATGTTGAAATAAGAGAAAGATATTGGATATATACACATGTACGAAGGGATCAATAGGCATAGGGAAAAAATCATGAAAATTCATAAAAAATCGAAACCAAATCAACTCTAAACTTTGTTAGGAATCCTGATATCCTATGAGCATCATACAGGACAAAGTGAAATTTGAAAACTGTTTAAATAATAACCCAATTTAGGAAAATCATTCCAGTCTACTCAACAGAATTAAACCAATCAATCTCTTCACAAAATTCAAGAATGAACTAAATAAATATGGTGTATCAATTTAACTCAATTTTTCATATTGATTTATTATAATTAAACAGTTTATTCAACTAATTATCTCCCTTCCTGTTGGATATTGGATATTTGATTCTTCAATTCATTAATTTTTGTCTCTTTTGTCCCTCCGTAAACATGAACATTCCTTGGGATCAATAAATGTTATTAGTATTATTACTGATAGTTCTTTGAACCGATGTCTGAGGAATAATATCAACTTTCACAATGTTGATATTGTTAGTTATTTCGTGATGTATTGAATGTTTTGTGTATTTTGCATACAGTCTTCTGTATGTGTACACCTACAGTTCGTTGTATATTTTCCTTATTAATTTTATAGTAGGTTATATTATACATTAATCATTAAATTAAACAAAAATAATGACCAGAATAATAGATGAGTTCTACCGATTATGTAGGAATAGGAATAAGTAGGCAAGACTTTGCCTGTCACTTTGAAGATTCCGTCAAACAAATATACTGTTACAAATCAGCGACGATATAGATTCGTTTGATATTTTTACTAGTGAAAAATGTCTGAATCAAGTTCAGATTTCCCAAGTGATATCAAAGAAGCAAAAAAAAATTCACTATTCTATTCGTCCATCCATGTTTTTGATTCGTTACTGGTATTGAAATATATAAACCGTATAAGCTCAAAACAACAAATAAAATTGTTTTTAGGGAATTTCGGATTTTTTATAACTCGTATTCGGAATGTTGCAATAACATTTTGTGAGGCATAAAATTATGCAATAACATTTTATCATCTCCACTTTCTCTGGATTTGAAATATGACGTCTCGTCTTCCAGAAACCATCATCAACCTATTTTTTTTAATACGGACCTGGCTTTTTCATTCAATTCTTTCTCACCTTTGAATAGATAGCCCAAAAGCTACGAGCTATCACAAATATTATTTTAAAAAAATATGTATCATAAATAATTCGTATCGGGTATTGAAAAGAATACATAAACTCTACTCTGTTTAGGGAATATAAACAATTTGATTCACACACTGAATAATATTTCACCCACTACAGCAAAGTCAATATCTTCACATATCTGTAACATTTTGAAAGTTAGATCTTTCATCATGAATGAATAGCCTCCAGAATTTCTTATCGCATTATTATTATTTTTCTTTATATAAACTACTCAACACTAATTTCGTCGCACACCAAAATGTCGCCCCTGTTATAATGTGAATAACTTTTTCCAGTTTAGAACAATTTGAATTTGGTTCACACTGTTCGATAGCCCAGTCCTTCAGCTATAATCTCGTACTCCATTGAAACATAAGGGTATTCACATAAAATCTCTACATGGTGTTTTCCGGCACTGTGCGAAATTTCGGAATATTCAGAAGGCTCTTAAATGGTGAAAAAAATTGTATTCTCAACTTCGACAACAGAGGCATGAAGATGATCTCATTACCTCGACATATTTCGCGAATCAACTTCCTATCTCTCTTATTCACAGAGTGATCTCAAAAAATCAACTTTTTGGTTTTGCAGCCATAACTTTTTTCCACGTCAACCGATTTTGTAAATCTTAGGCTCATTTTGAAGATAAAACTTCAGATGAAGAGATCTGAATATCAGAATCGACTCAAGATGGCTATCAATGATCTAGAGTTTTCTTGAAAGTGACCCAAATCTGGAACGGCCTTCGAATCTCGGTTGGGAGGAGAATTGAATGAAAATCAACTTGTTCTCGGAGAAAGAATTCATTCTGGATGCGTCCATATTTTCCTCGCTCTCAGTAGTCAAGAATTGTGCGTGAGAAAACACAATTGAAACAATCATGTTCTTGCAAAAACATTAGATCATTCCTCCTCTGTAATGCATGAGTGACTGACAAACCCGACCAGCTGAGGCTCATCATAAATGGTGTACCAACAAGAGCAACGGATTTTGAATTTTTTAATAAAGTGATTTTTTCAACACTTGTCACGTACATAACATGCGATTTGAGAATATGGAAAAGTATTCAAGCGAACAAGGTTTATTTATTGTAAAAACGCATTTCAAAAATGATGAGTTTCACGAAAACAGTCGCAGTAATGCGCCGAACGAATCGACAGTAATAACCAAACAATTCGTGTCTGAGATTAGCCCTTTGAATGGATCGGACTGTCGTGTTTAGCAGATCCGCGATTTGGAGGGAAGATAAGGATAACCCTTGTTCCCTCATTTGTGGAATCAGTTCCAACTGGTCGGGCGTCAGATGCGGCATCAAAACTATCAAAATCTGTATGATTCGAAAACGACGTCTAACCTGACTTGTCAGTCACTTACTGTGATTCTTGTAACGTTGGTTACGGGCCATGCATTACAGAGGAGAAATTGTCTGATGTTTTTGCAAGAACATGTTTCAATTGTGTTTTCTCACGCATATTCTTGAGTACTGAGAGCGAGGAAAATATGGACGCATTCAGAATGAATTGTTTTTCCGAGAACAAGTTGATTTTCATTCAATTCTCCTCCCAACCAAGATTCGGAGGGCGTTCCAGATTTGGGTCACTTTCAAGAAAACTCTAGATCTTTGATAGCCATCAATTCTGATATTCAGATCTCTTCATCTGAAGTTTTATCTTCAAAATGAGCCTAAGATTTTCAAAATCGGTTGACGTGGAAAAAAGTTATGGCTGCAAAACCAAAAAGTTGATTTTTTGAGATCACTCTGTAAATAAGAGAGATAGGAAGTTGATTCGCGAAATATCGCGAGGTAATGAGATCATCTTCATGCTTCTGTTGTCGAAGTCGAGAAAAAATTTGTTTTCACCATTTGAGAGCCTTTTGAATATTCCGAAATTTTGCACAGTGTCGGATAACACCATGTAGAGATTTTATGTAAATACCCTCATGTTTAAATGAAGTACCAGATTATAGCTGAAGGACTGGGCTATCGAACAGTTTGAACCAAATTCAGATTGTTCTAAACTGAAAAAAGTTATTCACATTATAACAGGGGCGACATTTTGGTGTGCGACGAAATTAGTGTTGAGTAGTTTATTTCTTCCCAATATTCTTACTGCGTTTATTTTTATTGCCTCACATCAGGAAACATTAGCATGTAGATATGATGACAAATTAGTAGAATCTCTAATCTTTATGCATAATAGTATATAGTAGGTAAATAGGAAGATCTTTTTTCGTATCGTTTTTTTAGAATATACTACAATTATCACCTATTGTATAATATGTATAACCGAATTACTTGTGTATAGAACTGTACGTTTTGCGTAAACAACAAATGAATTAATTTTGAATTGAAATGAACTCTACATTTTCGTAAACGAAACATTTGAAAATTGAACTTGTGATATATAGGGTGTCCCTGAACATATTCCTCAGGTTGAAATTAATCGATTCAAAGCAATTTATCTCAGTCCAAAATTGCTCCATATCCGAGATACAGGGTGGTAAAGATCGAAAATAAGAATCAAATTTCTCAAAATGTAGAAAAATTTCTGAAATTATCAGTTCAAAACTTGCTAGCCAGAAGCTCTTTTCACTGTGACCATTAGAGGGCGCTCACCAATGCACTTATTATGGTTTAGAATGGCAATAACTTTTTTCTCAGTGTAGTTTTCCACTTTTTTCTCAAAGAAATAATCTTCTTGATATTTTCAAGCAAAAAAGGTACACCTGCAAAAATTCGCTAAAGTAAGCCGTTTCCGAGATGTTTCGGTTTTTAGTGTTCGATGCCGCACCGGCATATTCAAATTACTTTGAATAAAACATTTTTCTACAAACGTCAAAAAATGACAAGGTTCGCGCATTGAAAACAAATTGCGAAGTGACACTTTTTTCAGTTTCCTACGTTACCATGATATCTTGCACAAAACAATGCGCGAAGTAAAACAGTGCGCGAAGTACCTACTTCGCGCATTGTTATGTAAAATATATGAGATATTTATAATTAAACTTTACGGTCCTCAATCGAGCAAACATCCACGAAATCATCTATTTCCTTATGTTCAACAATAACTTTGTTTTATCTCTTGGAGCGCACGAAAGGAAATCCCTATTATGTTCGTGGAACATCGTGCGTACCTAGGGAGGATAGGGGGAGGCCTTTTAAGCCAGTTCAACACTATTTTTTATATCAAGCTTTAAAACTATATTTTTTGACGTTTGTAGTAAAAAATTTGTTTGCAACGCGAGCGCGAAATAATCTGGTCATCTCGACTATTTTTTTCAGATCTCGATCACCAAAGTAGCATTTCGCGCTCTAGATACAAAAATAACTATTTTGCTTTTATCTTGTGTAGGTACATGTCGATTCTTGTTTTTTAAATTTACCATTCTGTATCTTCAACGCAGCAACTTCGTACTGAGGTAAGTTGCATTGAATCGACTTATTGTGAACTCAGGACTGTGTGCTATGATTTTGTACAGACCACTTAGGGAGACCCTGTATAGCTTGGGAGAATGAAATAAAAAATCCAGGTCCGTATTTGAAAAAATATCAGTTGATGATGGTTTCTGGAAGACGGAACTTCGAAAATCAAATTTGAAAACACCAACTTGTAGTGAAGAAAAAGTGGCCGTGATAAAGTTCCATTAATTTCAATTTATTTATTCAGATAATTTGAGAAAAAAAATGGTTCAAGCGTTTTTTTAGGACATTTCCGGAAATATTCAGTTTCAAGACGGCATGAAATTGCGCAACTTTGCCAAGATTTAACCAAATCTGTATCTCTTCCGGTTCCCGAGATTCCGATGATAAAGCTCTAATTCCACCCACCCCCGTACAACTATTCATCAAATACAAATTCCTTACCGACTTGAATTCTGGCAACGGAAGTCGACTGCCTGTCGCATATGGAGGTGACCGGCAGGTTCAGCTGCCTCTCGAACTCCCCCTGGCGGAAGAACTCGTCGCACACCTTGAGGCTCCATTTGCGCGAGATGTCCCACGGCCGCGTCGGGTTCGAGATGTCGGCGCATTTCAGCGCGATCTGCATTATGAACAGCCGGTGCTCGGACATGCGCAGGTCCAGGCTGTCCTCGTCCAAATGTCGCTGAGAAAGAGAGAGAGGCATATAACCACAGTATATAACACACTATAGAATAGAATAGGAGTTTATTGACTATTTTATGTACATACAAAGCACATTTATAGCAGGTCAAAAACATTTATACATGTTCCTTTAGTAAATAAACAGACAATTTTTATTAAAATAAATACTCATAGATTAGATTTAAACTGGGGCCTTCGGGCTATTTGCCTCCAAACCGCGACCTTTTTAGATCTATTGTGTCTGCCCTCAAAATCGATTAGAGTTCTTCGGCTAGCCCCGCCTTCTCTATGAGACTTCATAGGCTAGCTTTCAGATCTCCTGTGTATCTTATTTGGGCTTCTGGTTTTTTCTCACCCAGCGTAAGGAACCTTAGTCTTGACAAGCCCTTATAGTGGCATAGTATGTGTACGGCTGTTTCCTTTCCTTCCTGACAGAACCTGCACAGCAGTTCTTCAGTCAGACCTATCGTATTCATGTGTTTGTTGAGCCTACAATGCCCTGTGAGAAGTCCCACTAGTATTCTAGTTGAACTTCGTTTCTGGCTCAGTAGATATTCTATGAATGTTGGCGATGGTTTTTTAATGAACTGTTTTGCCTATCTCATACCTGGCGAGTTGTTCCACCATTCTTGAGATTTGGTTTGCATCCATGATTTGATACTAGTCTTTTGTATAGCTTTTGCAATACCACAGAAGGTATGTGTACGGCTGTTTCCTTTCCTTCCTGACAGAACCTGCACAGCAGTTCTTCAGTCAGACCTATCGTATTCATGTGTTTGTTGAGCCTATAATGCCCTGTGAGAAGTCCCACTAGTATTCTAGTTGAACTTCGATTCTGGCTCAGTAGATATTCTATTAATGTCGGCGATGGTTTTTCAATGAACTCTTTTGCCTATCTCATACCTGGCGAGTTGTTCCACCATTCTTGAGATTTGGTTTGCATCCATGATTTGATACTAGTCTTTTGTATAGCTTTTGCAATACCACAGAAGGGTTCTGGGTCATTCAGAGCTTTGTTTGCTCCTGCTTGGGCAAGTGAGTCTGCCTCTTCATTGCCCTCGTACCCTGTATGTGCTGGTACCCATAGTCATAAAATTACTGTGTGAACTGAGTGATGATCATTATTTGTTATTTTTTAGAAATCGGCACTGAGATATTCCTCAACGGAGTAGAAACTGTTGCTAACTAAAATGTGTTTTATGGTTGTTTTGAATAGCTCAAATTTCATTTGTTTGATATTATCTGGCATCCTATTGAAAAGTCGAAGATTGCGAGAGTTCCGTTCAGATACTTCTAGACGGTATCGGGGATTTAATAGGAGATAATTATTTCTTGTATTGTATTGGTGTATGTCATTATAAGCAGTATGAGTTCTTAAGTGTTTATGAATCTCAAGGAGACTCTGATATATGAAGACTGATGAATCTGTGACTGATGGTAAGGTCGCAAATATAGATTTACATGAGTCTCTAGGTCCTGCACCTGTAATAACTCTCACTGCCTTTTTCTGCATTATAATAACACGGAAGACCTGATAGGAATTTTCCCATAATAAGGTTCCATAGCTAATATTCGAGTGAAATAATGCAAAATACTCTCAGTACATCGGGGCTCACGGATTGATTCAATTTTCGAAGTAAATAAAAAAAATTGGCTTGATAATTTTCTACATAGACTGTCGATGTGAAACGACCAGTTTAGTTCATCATCTAGAGTGATACCAAGTAATTTAGCAGTATTTCCTTGTGAGATATTATTATATAGAAGAGAATAATAGTTTTTGAGACTTGCTTTCATTTTGTTTGAGCAAATTACCAACTAGCCACTCATCAATTTTGGTAAGTGCTGTATTATCTTTGATTTCAATGTTCGCCAGACTTTTGTCTGAATGATAAAATGTTGCATCATCAGCAAATAATATACACTTCGATAGACTCATGTTCACAAAAATATCGTTCACGTATATTATGAATAGAAGAGGCCCAAGTACCGAGCCTTGTGGAACTCCAAAATTATTCTGTTGAGACCTTGATATACCGTCATTGAAGAACACCCTCTGATTTCGCTCACGTAAATAGGAAAAAGGTTTGGCCTTACTGAGATCACACAGGGTTGTGCTCGTGCATTCACCCAGCTATGGTATCGTCCAATAATATGCAATAACGTCGAGAAAAATCTGGGAAACCCCAAGAGATAGTTGGTATATAGACGACATAGGAAGCAAAGTTTCTAGGTGCCCTATTATTTTGTGACTATAATTTTATTGAAAAATTGTCATAGTCTATATAGATATGTCTTCATATTTCAGTGACCATTCATCTAATGTTTATATGACGAATAATTGATTTCAATATGAATGAAAAAAAAATGATACTGAAGTTACAAACTCACTTTGAATCTGGTCAGAAATTCCGGTTGCCTGTTGATGTCTGTGGCCAATATGAGCTCACGGATTTGTTGCTCTAATTCGGTTCTATAAGGCCTCAGTTGCTCTGCCAAGCCGCTCTCTAACAGACAACCAATCGCTGACCTCCAATGGTGATTTTCCAATACCGATTTATTCTAAAAAAGAGCAAAAAAAGTGAGTACATTTTTCCATATATCACATTATACACCGTGTCCCAGCTAAAATGACCCCTCCTGTTAAAAATCAATCGCGCGATCGAATGACTTGAAATTTGGTCACCCAGTATATTTGATGATGCTCACTCGAAATATGCTATTGAATAAATCGTAGGTATACAGGGTCACACTGAAGTGCACCTAAACTTTCCTATTCGAATAGGGACGCCCAGTATATTATTCCATATTCAAGTAGAGTTGATTATTACAAACTCAACAATGCCGGATTTGATGGGATTTTTTAGAAAGACTACGAAGATATGGCAAAAAATAAAACGATTCAATTGATTTTATCAATATAACACGATTGAAATCGAATGAAAAGTAAATAATTAAAACCACAACTGCTCAATATGTCGTCCATTCTGATGCAAACATTTTCTAGCTCTTTTGATAACGTTCATTGTGACCCTATGTATCACGTTGCGATCAATTTGTGCGCATAAATTTCTGATTTTCGACTGGCGCCTCATATACCTGTTGTTTCAAGTAGCCCCACAAATAAAAATCCAGTGGTGCGAGGTCTGGCGACCGAGCTGGCCAGTTGCTATCACCATCGAGATATGGTGGTTATTAGATTTTCTCCAAAGCGATGGCGAAGATAATTCTTTACTGCAGGACACCCTTCATTCGATTTCAATCGTGTTATTATATTGATAAAATCTTCGTAGTCGTTTGAAAAAATCCCATCAAACTCGGCACTGTTGAATTTGTAATAATGAACTCTACTTGAATATGGAATGATATACTGGGTGTCCTTATTCAAATAAGAAAGTTGAGGTGCATTTCGGTGTGACCCTGTATACCTAAGATTTATTCAATGGCATATTTCGAGTGAGCATCATCGAATATACTGGGTGACCAAATTTCAAATCATTCGATCGCGCAGATGATTTTTTACAGGGGGGGACATTTTAGCTGGGACACGGTGTATATACACTGTTGATGACTTTTGTTATGCCATAGTTCCGAAAAATACGCCAATAATACCGTCTTTGAGAAAGAACTGCAACAACAAATAAATTCGCAACTTTTCAAAATCAAATATCAGAATTAGACTGACAGATATTTGATTACTTCAAAAGAATGATAAAGATGCCTGCAGAAAGATACCTGCAACGCAGGTATCATTCCTGTTAAAAACTTCAAATTCAACGTCGATAATTTCTGATTTTGATATAATGTAATATCTTGTCAACATTGGTTCGTCCTTTTTTCTGTCACAGAAAATAAAATAGTGTGTAATACACGGGAAAAATATCGAATTTTAGCTCACGGTTTTTTGTCTAACTAACTATTTTCAAAGTCACTTGACGGTCAATGGGAGACAGAAAAAGCACCATCGCTTGGTTCTCAGAGCGAAGAGACAAATACTTCTTTGGAAAAATGTTCACTAATAGATATTTGAACCATGACCCATTTGATAAAAGATATTTATAAATTCCTCTTTGAATTCTCTCAATGTCAATTTAACTGAAAATTTTGGGAAAAAAACAGAAAAAAAAATAGTTACACAAAAATTACACACTTACGTATAAGTTACTTAATATTTTTATAAAGTACACACTTACTTGATACAAAATGGCAAGATGGTTCGATGTCGATATCAGAAAATGTTGATTTACACCAGGATGATCTAAGTCGTGAGCAACAGCACCAATAAGCGATGCCATAATTTCTAACGGTGTGACATGTTGCCGAATCTGGAAATATTATTCCAAAATATCAAATTTTCCGAATACTCCTACACTGCTGTTTAAGATGAGGAAATGTCGATCATGAGGGGTCGAAAAACGTTTTGATTGAATTGATGGGCCATTCACATCTTCAAAATACGCTCTGCAATGAAAACCGGTCACTAAAAATTTGCTCCAAATTTCAAAGTTGGCTTTGTTCTCGAAACTGAAGATTAACAAGCATTAGTACCGATGATTTTGTAGTAATTTATTGCATATACAGTGTGACCCACTTCTAATGGAAACACCCCTGTATCTAAGGGCGTCGTTACGAGGGGGGGGTAATGGGGGTAATGGGGGTAATTACCCCCCACCCAGGAAAATACTGACCTACAAATCTTTCAATATTCAGTTCTACATCAATCAATAATTTTCAACAATAATTGCCGTTCTCCACTTGCTATTAGTCATGAAATTTGTGACTGACAAAGCTGCCCCTGCCCCACGAGCCACGAGTCACGGTCACGAGCTTTGACCACGGACCACGGCACTCTTTACCGCGCTAATTCCTAATTCGAGCGATCTGTTTCGCTTGATCACGGGACAGTGGAGGGAGGGGAGGAGTTGTGAACACAGCCTTTCTTACAAGAGAGTACAGAGTATATTTTCAATAAATTGTAGCTAGAAATTGAGCTGTGGGTCCTTTTTCAGGAAAGTGCGGTGAATGTTTTGAAAATGTGTGACAGACATTTTTCCGATCATTAATTTGTTGTTACATTTGATAACAGTCATGCCCGTAGGTGTATTGTAGTAGAAACATCAGCAGGAAGGCAGGAGTACATCGATCATCCTGTAACACGCATTCCAGATTGTTTTCCAACCTCTCAATGATTCCTACATGCACCAGCATATTTCCGAACACTCAATATATGCCGCGGTGACAAATAACGTGACAAAAGATTCTGGAATGTACTGGAAACAATCGATGGAACAATTAGAGAGACGCTTCTAGAACAAAAAGAAGGAGGCGGAAGATCATTCGAGAACGTTCTCGAACCAAAGCCTACCAAGGGATCTCATATATAAACGGCCGGACAACTTCCGTCAGTCAGTCGAGCAGCGAGTGTCAGGGAGACAGTTATATACCGCGCGATATTAATCGTTTTACATAAATATAAGTGTTTATTTACTTCAAATAAATCATTTCGAAAATAAATAGGGTCGTGTTCGCTTCTGCACCCGAATAAACGTAACAGTATCATCTGCCGAACGATCATTTTCTGCATTGAAACTCCTAAAAACTTACTTAAGATCGACTATGAGTCAAGAAAGGCTGGTTTGGCTTAGAACTTCTACATTTCTATCGAGAACGTGAAATAGATTATGATGCAGTGCTGAATAGATTTGCTTCCCAGAAAAAGAGAAAATTAGAATTTATTTTATGAGCTCAATTCATTATTATACTTTGTTACAGAATATGTTTCTATTGACCCTTTCAGTCATTATATAATAATATCCTATACTTATATAATGTCGTCTGTAATTTTCAATTACCCCACTCAGAAAAAAAACCTAGCGACGTCCTCGCCTGTTTCTTACGTAATCGTTGGGTAAGGATGCTGAAATTTGCTGGAGCGAGAGAAATACCAAAAATGCATTCTATGACCAAGTGGGGTCAGTGATATACACTGCTGGCCAAAAGTCATGGAACCACCCCCATTTCCGGAAAATGATATTAGGAGTCAAAATAGGTTGAAAATCACTTCGGATTCGGAATCAGGACGCCCAATTCTCTAACTATTTATAGTTTTCCTAGCAAATGTTCAGTTCAGAAAAATTAAATTTCGTCTCACTTCTCATGGAAGCGCCCCCGTATCTCACGTAATTATTGAGTTAGGGTTCTGAAATTAGTAGGAGGTAGGGAAAGTCCAAAGATAAAGTCAATTACGTAAGATACGGGGGTGCTTCGGTAAAAAGTTCGACATATTTAATTTTTCAGAACTGAATATTTTCCAGGAAAAAAAGGAATAGTTAGTGAATTGGGCGTCCTGATTCCGAATCTGGAGTGATTTTTGACCTATTTTGACTTCTAATATCATTTTCAGGAAATAGGGTTAATTCCTTCGCTGTTGGCGAGCACTGTATATCACTGACGATTACCCCACTTGGTCATATAGTGCATTTTTGGTATATCTCTCGCTCCAGCAAATTTCAGGATCCTTACTCAACGATTACGTGAGATACAGGGGTGTTTCCATTAGAAGTGGGTCACACTGTATAATGCCATAATTGAAAGAAAATATTATTAATAATTTATTCACGCATTATTGTTTTTTTTTTCATTTCCGCTAGACACCAAGTGTGAGATTGATGAAAGCAGCTCGGCAGGGAGAATCTGAAAATGCAGTGAAATACAGGGTGCTCCATTTGAAAATCGAGAGTTGATGCCCATTACGCTGCAAGATTTCAACTTTGGAATATAAAAATTGTAGAAAAATGTTTTCCCTGCCAAATTCAAATCGACCTGTTCGAGCGATTTTCAATCTTTTTAACAAAATCGGAGATTTGGGGGTGACAAGCTTTAGCTGGGACACACTGTATTATTGATAGCATTGATGGAACCTTATTCAAAAAATGTTGCCCTAAGTATATGAAATAGCCGAAAAAAATTAAACATACCTTATCTTCTTGAAGAAAACAATGCATTGCTTGAGTTACATCAGTCGCATGTATGGAATTATGATAAGGATTAGTGCTATGATACCCTTCTTCTATCAGCGCTGCAAAAAAAAACAATATTTGATCAAGAATGCAGAGTAAGCTCAAATATTGAAACAATGTTACACAAATTCATCATATATGGTGTAGAAATTCAATATGCTGAGGAAATACGTAAACTTTCAAACCAGTTGAGTACACTATTTTTCATTCTTTCATTTGAAACAGTATTAATGAAACAGATACAAAACTTTAGGCAAGTACAGGAAATAATATGAAAAAAGCTAATGGTAGCGTAGCCCAATTTATTGATTCTCAACAACTTTTTTCCGAATAATGGTGCGTTAGAAACACCATGTCGTGTTAGCGAAATATCATTAGATATTCACCGTGAAAAAAAAAGGGATATTATGTTTGATTCCAATTTGGTACTAATACAAAATTGAAACTACCGACTGCATAAAAAAATATTGATTTTTCAACTATTCACTTAATACTCACCAAATAGTTTCCATACTCGTACAACATCTAACTGGAAGTAGTCTAGTAAGCCGTACCAATGAAACAAATGAACACATAGAACGGGCAGTGACCTACCACCAGCCACGGTTTCTAGAGTAAAGGCATTGAATGCCCATTTACCACAGCGGTCTAGTATTTTCTGAAAAAAAAAAAAACGAAATAACTAGAAGTAATAAACTTCGCTGTTCCTTGTGATTCTTTTTATTTTCTTTTTTTTTTCTCCGATGCGATAGTTCAAGTAGATCATCCGTCGGAAGACAACACAACCTGGAGCAAAAATCAACTATACGTTTTTTCCTTGTATAATAAATACCTATCTTTCACGACATCTCCACTTCGAAAATTTAATGGATTGAGATTCCAGAAGTCAAAAGAGAGTTGAAGATTATACGAGAGCATGTTAATAGTTAAGTAGCAATTTTATATTTTATAATAGTTGCAAAAACATGTTGGCCAAGAGAATTATAAAACTATCTTAATCCTCATGTTTATTCAATGACTATAAATGTAGAGTTAGCACAATTTTATGAAATATATTAGTTATTTTATGTTTTATTATGCAGTTAGCGGTGATATCGGCAACAGATTCATTTTTGATTAGGACGTTAATTTTATGAAACATTCATTGCGTTTTTGATTTTGCCGTAAGAATGAAATCCAGAACAACTTTCTTCTCATGGAATCGAAATTGTTTCTGAAGGAACTCCTATATAACTGTTGTTTAAGGATACAAGTAGTAACTATTAACTATATGTTTGTAATATATTTATAAGAAAATACGAAATATCGCTGGAATGATATGAAAGTATCTATCGAATCATTGAATTTTTTAGGTAGAAATGTTTTATGAGAGGACCATAAATATTCTTTTGAAATGATTTGGAGACTGTTTCATTAGGTATTGTTTATATCTGCTATGGAATCATTTCAGAGACGAATTTATGAAATATTCTAGATGCCAAAAACAGAATTGTTTATATGGCTGCCTAGCCCAATAAAATGATTATGCATTGTGAAAGTATCTATGAAATACCTATGAAATTGAATCAGCACAGACCTTCCGAATTATAAAATAACTTTGCTGGTTGGGATAGCCATCTAGTCGAAGGGATCCAAATGATTTTTGTTTGATTCTAGTGTTATATTAAGAATTGAGAGACGTTTCAAATGAACTATCACTGGACCTCAATGCTAATATATTTTTTTCAAAATGGCGTCCGAGCGCCATTTTGATTGATTCAATTTTGTATCAATGTTTTTACCTGGACTTGTCCATGATGAATGTCATCAAGTATTGCATGATCTTGCAGCAAAGATCGAGTTGTGAGTTTTTTGCGACGTCGCTTGTGCATCGTCAGGAATTTCCCGGTGGCCGACAGGGACGGGCCGGGCCCCATGGCGTCCAACAATATCCAGTCCTCCTTGGAAAAGGACTGCTGGAACGGGGAAACTTCCGCTGGGGCTGCAACAAAAAAAAACATTCGAATAAGTCATCATATGAAACTCTAATTAATAGAACGGCAGGTTAAGCTATGTTGTTTATTCTCGATGACCCAGTACATTCTTTTTTCTGCAACCGACACAAAAGTCGTCCATTTTGATACCAAAATCAGCTTCTGAATCATTGACGTTTTTATTACTGACACATTTAGTTCCCAGGAGCTAAAGTTGAACTTTAGTTCCTAGGAGCTAAAGTTGAACTTCAGTTCCTAGGAGCTGAAGTTGAACTTTAGCCCCTAAAAACTAAAAAGGATGCACTAGAGGTCATCAAGAATAAACAACATTGTTATGGTTGGTTATTTGGGTATGCGTCTCGCATACCTGATTTGTTTCGGATTTCGACAGATTTGGCATTACATACCCATGCTGGAGATATAAATACACCTTAGTACAGTCTTCGAGTATTCTTACTAGTGTATATAATCGAGGGTATATAGTTGAGTATTTTCGTTTTGATCAGGAAAGCTTTCAAGATTCACATACTTGCTTGATATGTATTTCATTCGTTATTCTCGGGATGGATAATTTGTTTTTGAATAATCACGGCTGGCAATAGATTTTTGTCTCAAACAACGATATTGTTTACCTACATTTGATTATCAAGCCAAACACAGTGGAGTATGGAGAGAAATAAATCATCGCTATTATTATTGTTGATATGCTCACTAACCTAACATTTTCCACGTCTTGTTACTATACCTGACACAAGCGCGGTATTTGCCATTAAAGCATCTGGTCCATACAGAAATATGTCACTCTGTGGTTGTATTTATATTGAATTGAAACTACAATTCGAACATCCTTGAAAATTGAATGAACTTGCTGTTAATGCAGGTAGAATATTCTCATCACACGGATTATGTGTTGTATTGCATACATATGGCACGGCATCGGTGGTTACTTCACATATTTATAAACGCTTCGCCTCGCAAATGAAAATTCGCTTGTCAAACAAAGTGTCACTTTGATCCTAATAAAACAATCTACTATTCAGGGGAGTTAAGGGAGTTAAGGTTCAACTTTTGCTCCTAGGAACTAAAAGTGTTGCTAAGCAACATACCTATTTTTTTTTGTATCAGTATAGAAACGTCAATTTCAAGAGCTAATTTTGGAATTGAAATGGACCATTCTTGAGTCGGTTGCAGAAAAAAGTTATTATTCATAAAACGTTCAGATATCAAGTTTTTTCAGTCGCATACGTGGTGTGTCTAAAAAATGTGAATTGTTCTCTAGAATAAAGTACTAACCCCTACCTTTATGAAACAGGGGTCTTGACAAAAATTCCATTTCGATCGATATATTTTTTCAATGGTGCCTTGGGCTTTCTTAGAGTTCAAATCTAAAATGTATTTATTTAGATGCAACCATTAGTATAAATAACAAAATCAAATGATATATAATACTGTTTTTCACTGTTGAGTTTGTTTATTCATCTACCCTATTTGATCGCTTTATCAACGCACTAAAGGGTGCATTTTACGGTAATTTTTTTATTCGAGCAGCTGATACTGGATGGTACCGTTGACGAAACTTTCAACTTGACTAAAAGGCAAATTTCACTATGATAAAGATATGGAAGTGAAAGTACTACAATTATAATAATAGCTAATAATAATTATAATAATGATAAATCATACTATTGCAAAAAAATACGATCGTTTACCGAATAAATTAGTTCACAATGTGGGTACACCGATAACGGAACAGATGAGACTGAATAATACCTAAATATCTTCGTTATTAGAATACTTTCATATCCGCCATACATTACACTTTCTATCTATTAATTTTCATAATGTTTAATGTGATATATAATAATTATATGGTTCACTAGTGTAAAAAAGTCAACACAATTGTGAAATCAGTGATGTCGAACATACTAAACTCGTTGGAATGAATTATTGTTATAGTTTTCATTATATTTCACGTATCTATCATCCAAAATGAAAATAATGATTATGAGGAATTTAAAAACATCAAGTCGGAAAAATACAAAATATCACTATGATTCGCAGATTGAAACTCATCAGTGCATGATATGGATTTATTCATTGAACGAAACGCATTTTGTTTGGCAATAGTTATAAGGTGACGTAGATCTTATTAATTTTCAGATCCTAAGGCCCTCCGCACACGGGTCGATCGGCGACATGGGCGACGCGATTCGAATCGTACGACTGTCTCCCCTCTACTCGACTTCCTAAGCAAAGCATTTGGATCCCGCACACGGGTCGTTTAGTGGTCGTCTAGAAACGTACGATTTAAGATCTCCTCGTTTTCAGTCGCATGCGATTAGCAAGGAAGCAGTTTGATCGAGTGAATCGTGCGTCTCAATGGAGAAAGTTGTTCAATAATTTTTCAATCATTGTGATTATTTGTGTTACCTACCTTGAGTTCTTTACTATCAGTAACTTGAACATATAATCTTATGTTTCCAATACTCTCAAATTTAGGAACTGTTTGATTTTTTGAAATATAAGAATCTTATACCTCAATGTTATTAGTATGCGTTCTTCTGCGCTGCCACATTCCCTCATATTTGTATCCACATAATTTATGGCTGGAGCAAGAGTATCCACTAGATCAATATATGATTCCTTCGACATTCTATAAAATACCAAAAATTTTGTGTCGCTCTCTTGCATTTCACGTGCAGCAACAAGAAGTCGAGTGTGAAAATTTCGTGCAATGTACGGATGCACCATGCACCCATAACTTCGTTGTCTTCTTCTTCTTCTCCTGATCTGCCGGTGCCACAAAAACATGACTATGTCCTCCTCATCACTGGAACTGCTCATTTTTAGCGAAAACTTCCTGTTTGAAGTTGCAAAAAGTAGAGTAGTTGATCAAACGCGAGTCGACCACACAAAACGTCGACCCATATGCGGATGACACACACTCCCGTCTCTTGAATCGTACGAATGCAGAAATTGTGACGTCATTGCAATCGCGTCGCCCATGTCGCCGATCGACCCGTGTGCGGAGGGCCTAAGAGTTGTTTCCGAGGTTGTTTCTATATTTTATTTGATAACAAAGAATCACAGATTTCGAAACGAATATGTAAAAACATGGTGTTGCATTTGAAAAAATACACTTGCGGTTTGTCACGTTTTTGGGAATCACCCTGCAAATTTTATGATAAGGGTCATGGAAAGACCTTCTTGCTGCGGCATTTCATACTTTCATACTTTTATACTTTGTCGATATTTCTCTCGGTGAAAAATAATGCAAGTATAAGGATGGGCCTCTTCAATCAATTTCCCTGTCCGTGTACACTCGTCTTCAGTGAACATGTGGCGGTTGGACAGTGCACGTGCTTTTATTGCAGCGATGATCTAGAATCTAGAGAGCTGATACCGTCTACAGGGTGGGCCACCAGTAACGCCTCGGTCTCTAGAAGGCTAACCACTTATATTCTTGGAATTCTTCCTCTCTAGGAAGTTGCATGTCAACATATGCTACCATTTGAAATTATTTTGAAACATACAGGATGTCCCCAAAAATCACAAAACACTGAAGTTGAACTTTTTTCAATCGAACACCCTATATACAGTGTGACCCACTTCTAATGGAACCACCCCTGTATCTTACGTAATCGTTGGGTAAGGATCCTGAAATTTGCTGGAGCGAGAGATATACCAAAAATGCACTCTATGACCAAGTGGGGTCATCTTCAGTGATATACACTGCTCGCCAACAGCCATGAAACCACCCCAATTTCCGGAAAATGATATTAGGAGTCAAAATAGGTTGAAAATCACTTCAGATTTGGAATCAGGACGCCCAAGTTACTAACTATTCAAATTTTTCCTGGAAAATTTTCGGTTCGGAAAAATGAAATTTTGTCGCATTTTTTATGGAAGCACCCCCGTATCTCACGTAATTGACTTTATCTTACGGCTCACATGTCCCTATCTCAACTTTTGATCAACTATCGACTGACATTTAATTGAAACAAATACAGGGTGGTGCAGAATTCAGAATCTTGATCACCCGGTATATGTCCCAATTAAATATCATTAAATAGTTAATCGAAAGTTGAGATAGGGACATGTAAGCCGTTCTTGAACTTGGAAAATCTCGATTTTTCACACCCTATATATTTCAGTAATTATAACTGCTAGACCCCAAGTATGATGGGTCGTTGAAATCAGCTCATCAGGGAGAATCTCAAAATGAAATAATATATAGGGTGTTCGATAGAAAAAAGTTTATCTTCAGTGTTTTATGGTTTTTGGGGACACCCTGTATGTTTCGAAATAATTTTAAATGGTAGCCTATGTTGACATGCAACTTCCTAGAGAGGAATAATTCCAAGAAGATAAGTGGTTAGCCTTCTAGAGACCGAGGCGTTACTGGTGGCCCACCCTGTATAATGTACATGTTCTCTTGGAGTAAAAACATAGACACAGATAGGTATAGTCATTTTCAGAGAACATGTCGCGATTGGAGGTTATCAGCAATCTTATAGAATATGTAAAAATATACAGGGTGTTCCATTTGAAAAAACAGAGTTGCTGGCATTTCCTGGATATTGGATTGTATTGTGATCGAATACGAACTGGATGCTTATACAGGGTGTATCTAAATATCACCGAAAAAATTCAAGAGGTGTTTCCGTGTGACATTCTAGCAAATAAAGTTCATATAAACATGTGTCCTAACTTGCTCCGTTTTTGAGATACAGGATGTTGAAGTTGGAAGTGTTAATTGTTTTTATTTATAACCACTCTTGTATGAGCTTTCGTGGTGCCAAAATTCAGTATGGACGGAGACTGAAAAAGCCCCAAAATTTCAGGATGATTCTAATTGGGGTTATTGATGAATGAATGATATTTAGATACACCCCTGTATAACTGTACCAAGTTGTAGAAAAATCTGTTCACGAAGGCAGAAGTTACAGGGGTGGAACCTCGGGTGGAACGATACCCTGATGTGTCACCCGATAGTTAAAATACGATGCTTTCAATGCATACCTCTTCTTCTTCTTATTCTTTTATGTTTAATGGCTCTCTGACTCCTTGCTGTGCCAATTCCAGCAGATCAGGTGTTCGGTAGTATTTTGGTGCTTTGATTATTTAAAGGAAGGATGATACTACAATTGTTTGGGATATAGAGTACCTAATTATTGTTGGGCCCATTCTTTCATTAAAGGATTTAGTCAGTTTGTTATAACATATATATAGGAGGAATTGAATACCCACATTGAGACTCCACAAATCGAAAAGATTTACCTATATTGTATGATAGATAGAAAGACACCCCTGCATTACAAGGGATTTTTGTTCTATATTTGTACTATTTATTCTACTTGTTTCATTTACCTGAATGCTGATATTAAATTTTTCGATAAGTTTACTCAGGAGGTTGATTTTCTCATCATTCAAGTTACAGAGTACCATTTGATGCGACTCAGGAGGGGAAATTCCCATAATTGATAATTTTGAATATATTCAAAAAGAAAATGATTGATATCTTCTACAATTTGAATGATTTGCTAAATCATGTTCACGACTCGAAGATTCATTTGACAATTTTGACATTTATATATTATATTACCTGAAGCAGTCAGCTGAAGTCGAGTCATTTCTTGTAGGGACTAGAGGGAGCTTTCAAACAATTATCACCTCACTTCACTTCGTTATCCATCTTCCGAATCAAAGAACAATAGACGAACGTGATGGAGAAACAGTGGAAAGCCATGAGGATCTGACATCCAGCTAACAGAGCCTACTATGCACTCATAAATCTACAGGCACAGCCAACTAACTTTCTTCACAACAATCGCAGAGTCAACAACCTAACCCCTCTTTTGTGTACACACACCGCTCTCTGTAATATTATTACAGTGGCATCAGACATCAACATTGGTTTGGTTTGGTTTGGTGGAAAAGCGGATTTATATCTCCCGCATTATTATTAACATGCTTACAATGCATAAAATCGCGAGTCTTGATCCTCCTTTCGTGCTGAGAGAAACTAGAAAGCATAATTATTATCTATACAGGGTGACCCCGTGAAAACGAAACAGAGGCTCTGTAGGTCGCCAGAACCGGATCATGAAAAAACTCTGGAACACGTCAACTACATTTTCGGGGACATCGTTCTAAAATATTTTCAGCCCTGCGGCGTTGCCACTTCTAACGAGAAGAAGCAACAACTTTGTTATTTCAAATGGAACACCTTGTATTTCATTGCATTCTCAGATTCTCCTCGAAGAGCTGATTTCATCAATGCATCACACTTGGGATCTAGCGGCAATGATTACAGAGCTATCCTACAGACCCTCTGTTTCGTTTTCAAAGGGCCGCCCTGTATAATTATCTCTCCATGCTTTTATATCAGTATCGATCAGGGAAAGTGGAAGAACAAAACAGGGATCAAAGAGGCATCACTATTAGTTAGTATAGAAAATTCAAACTGAGTGCTGAGTTTAGGTGCAAAGTACTAAATAGCCAGGAAAGTATTAGCTGACTATTTATTCTGCGACCAATAGAACTGCATTAGAAATAAAAAGATAGGCTGAAACAAATAATTACAGAATTTTTTTTCTGAGCCGATGCCTGTAATAGTTGAGATATCCGTTAGTATGAGTCTCAATACGGTATGCATTGGTTAGTAAGAGGTTATTCGTTTTTATTTTGATGAGAACAGCTAAAAATGATAATTGATTGTCACATGTATGGGGTTCAGCACCCAAACATATGCTAATACTTTTAGATTCCATCTAGAGAAGAGCCATTCGCCTGGTAGTTGATACCACACTCACTAACTCTTTGACCCAATTCGAACACCGTAGAAAAGTCGGAAACCTTTCATTTTCTATAGATACTTCCACGGGAAATGTTCTTCAGAAATCTCTGCTATAATTCCATCACTAGCAATACCAGTCAGACAAACTCCACAGGTCCAATCAGCACATCTTTTTGTCGTTAACCTTGAAAAATGTCGAACAACAAAAAAACATACTCAATTTCCAGAGTGAATTCCATGGTGGGTTCGTCAGAGTCCAGAAAATTATCTAGCTCTATAAGGTTTAATAACTTATAAAAATATTTACATAATAATTATCTCCACACCGAGTTTTTGGTATATTTATCGTATTTTTTGACCATGTTTTCCTGGAAATTCTCCATGATTACTCAGGATAGGAGATAATAGCCATGGGAATATGTTGTTTTCAAACATAATTCCATAAATTCAAAATTCTTTCGATACTGCCTCAGAAACGTAGGTACCAGGTCGAAAACCATGGCCGATGAAATTAAATTCAGGATAGTTCAGACTTCAGAGCAAATACTTAGATGCAGTCATTTTTTCTATTATTTACGATACAGTAGGAGCGAGGTTGAAAACATAAGTAGCTAGAGGTGATGGAAATACGTACTTATTTCATGTATTCGCTGTGGTTATATGCATTATACATCTACATATTATTATCATAATCGATTTATGCTTGAATCTGTTGTCGAATTGAATGAGTGTTATTCCATCTCTCATATTTCGTAAGATAAGCAGACCTCATTTATTTACCAATCAGCAGACATTGAACAAGTTGAATGTATTTGTTGGTAGGAAGGCATACCCATAATACTGAAATAGAAAGCAGTTTTCTTTGAAATCAAACGAGCTCCAAACGATCATTAATCCATCTCGAAAATATTATAAAACATATTCAGTGATCTTGAAAGTGCATTAGGTATGATAGATAAAAACTTTTTCCTCTTTATCACAGAATACGCACAATCCAATAACACATGCAGTTTTAAGATAATTATTCATTCAGTGCTCTAGTATAAAATTGTTAGAAACATGATATTGATGGTGATAAGTGTCTTTCTGGGAGTCATAATAATACTCCTTACCACCATGTTGGTGAACTGGTATTCATTGGTATCTAAATACGACTCCCTCAGAAACGTACCAGGTCCAAAACCATGGCCGATTATCGGAAATGCGAATGAAGTCGGAAAAACAACAGTTGGTGAGTTATCAAGTTCAAGTTATATAAGATGACCCAGGAAGTTCCGCAATAAACATGGACTACACAAAGAATGTACATAATTAGACTTCCACGGATGTTCATTGGCTTCCTTACTAAAAAAGGTTCCAGAATCTTTCAATAACTTACAATGAGTAGTTTTGCAAACGTTCCGCATTTTCAAAACGATTTTTAAATCCTAAGAACACTTCTAAAAACTTTCGAGGACTTCCTTAGCCTTATAGATTTCCAAGTACTTTTCCTAAGAGACTATGAAAAACTTCCAAAGATTTTTAAGTACTCACAATGATTTCCATTGAGATTTGAATGCTCGAAATCGTCTTTTGTCAACGAACGGTCCTGACGGAATTCTCAAAAAGTGTGCACCAGAATTGACACCGATTTTCTGCAAGTTATTCACCATCTCGTACAAGTCGAGTATTTTTCCATCATGCTGGAAAATAGCTAGAGATCAAACCAATCCCCAAAAAAAGGAAACAAAAGCCTGCCCAACAACTATATAGGCCTGATAATCGCCCTGTTATCTGTTATAGCCAAGGTGATGGAGAAAGTCATCTACATTGCGCTCGTCAAAAATCTGGAAAGCTCAGGAATCATCAATAATAGACAATATGGATATCGCTACCGAAGATCAACTGCAGATTTACTTGCCTATGTTACCCATTTATGACAAGCTTCAAGAGAAACACATGGGGAATCTTTAGCTGTAGCGTTGGATATTATATCGAAGGCATTCGATCGTGTTTTTCACCATTGACTGCTCCACAAACTACCATCATACGGTTTACCACACCAGCTATGACATCGTTTATCGCTCCATGTGGTGCTGGACGGTCTGATACTATTGCCATCTATCCCGGCGTTCCACAAGGATCTATTTCCTACTTTATATCAATGATCTGTTAGGAGCAACCACTTGCCCTATCCATAGCTTTGCAGATACTCTCCATACTGCGTTCTCTTCTAGAATTCCTATATTCCTCCCTAGCAAACTAAGAACGACAGGTGAACGCAGTCAACGAAGATCTTGACAAAATTTCAGCCTGATGGGGAACTAACAACCTAGTTGAATTCAACGCCACCAAAACTCAAGCCTGTATTTTCTCTAGAAAGGCGGAACACAGTATGCCTGATATAACAATGTCCACCATATCTATGCTCAGTATTTCCATATCAGCATAACTCTTTCATGGAAAAATCATGTCCGATCCATCGCGAAAGTTGCTTCTCAAGAACGCGGATTTTTGTTGTTTGTCTTGTGAAAATCTACTTTACACCTTCTACAGAACAGCTTCTTAAGATCTATAAAGCACAGATACGACCTATGGGGTTCGGCATTCTCTTAGATTCCATGCATAGGCGAGCCATTCGCCTGGTGGGTGATGCCACACTCACTAGTTCTTTGACCTCATTAGAACACCAGAGAAGAGTGGGATACCTTTCACTTTTCTAAAGATACTTCAACGGGAAATATTCCTCAGAAATCTCTGCTATCATTCCATCACTAGAAATACCAGTCAGACAAACTCGACAAGCCCAGTAAGCACATTCTTTCGTTTTCAACCTTGTGATATGTCGAACAACACTTTACCAATACCAGATCGTCTGTAGAACGGCTAAGCTCTGGGATTCTAATAATAATAATAATAATAATAATATAGTATATATATATATACAGGGTGTTTCCTAACTACGGTTCCTAACTGCAGGGGGTGATGTGTCAGGTCATTTTGAGAATAAAAGTTTCTATGAACATATATCCGGAGTTGCTTCGTTTCTGAGATACAGGGCGTTGAAATTAAAGAAAAAAAAACGGTAATTATAAAATATCATGAATATCCTGGAACCGATATGGTTGAAATTTGGTACTTTTATTTGTCAAATTTTCTGAAATTTCAGCATATCAAGTGTCAATAAAATTTTGGCGGAGATAATGAAAAACTCATTTCTCCAATGCAGGTGTTCATGATATGCAATACTATGGCTTTGATTTTTTTTCTCGAAAACGAAGCTGGATATGAAGGAAATGCAAGAGACCAAAAAGTTGTATTTTGAGTTGTTCAATCTAAACAAAATGAAAATTCACCAAAAAAGTCAGTGGCGCACTTTTTTTTCACAATATTGTTGGCTGTGGTGCCCACTGAGACGCCACTGGCTCCAATAATTTCAAGCAACTCCGGACATATGTTAATAGGAACTTTTCTTCCTAAAATGACCTAACGAATCACCACCTGCAGTTAGGAACCGTAGTTAGGAAACACCCTGTATATAATATAGGAAGGTCCTTTCGGGCGGTTCAAGAGTTGAAAATGGAACTACTGCCAATGGTATTCTTCCTATAAAACTTGAGTTATCGGACTATTCTTCGTCAGTGATTTCCAAAAATGTTATCCAAATATCGAATTAAATGTGTTTTTTAGATCTTCTTCAGTCCTTTGAAAGGCTCCACCAGATATATGGTACGTTTTTCAAGTTGTGGCTTGGACCTAGACTGCATTTGATGATAGCCAAGCCCGAATATCTGGAAGCACTCCTGACTTCCAATGTCCATTTGGCGAAATCTGATGGTTATGATCTCTTCAAGCCTTGGCTTGGAGATGGACTACTAGTGAGTGTTGGTAAGTATGATGGTATACGAAATAAAAATAATTCAGATGTATCTTGATTATTCCATCTAGATGAGAGATTTGATTCGATTGATTTCCAGGAAAAAAATGGAAGTGTCGTAGGAAAATGATAACACCAACGTTCCATTTCAAGATTCTGGAAGAATTCATAACAATATTCAACAAACATTTCGATCTACTCATAGATATTCTTGCGAAAGAGGTCGATAAAAATCCTGAAAAATCCATCGAAATCAGTGAATTTGTTAACTTAGCTTCTCTGGATGCAATTTGTGGTGAGGCACAAAATCATCCAATTTCAATATACCGAGTACACAATATAGGTACTGACAAATCAAGCTGTTTATCACCCCCTTATTTTTCAGAAACAGCATTTGGAACCCCTTTGAATGCCCAACTTAAGGGCAACCCAGATTACGTGAAAGCAGTCAGCATCATCTTGGAAATAATCACTTTGAGATTCTTCTCTGGATGGCTCAGGAATCCCCTGATATTCAGATTCTCCTCGTTGTACCCAAGGTACAAGAAGAACATGAAAATCCTCCATGATTTCACCAACAAAGTCATACTAGAACGCAAAGAGGCTTGCAGGATCAGAAAGAACAACACACGTAGTCCTGCTGAGGACGGGATCAGAAGAAAAGCAGCGTTGCTGGACATGCTCCTTGAAGCCACTAGCGATGGGGAAGAGTTGAGTAATGAGGATATCAGAGAAGAAGTTGATACGTTCATGTTTGAGGTAATTCAGAGCAGAATTAAGGAATATCTGATTTTTTCGTTGAATATAATAGTTATTTATTATACAAGGGGAAAAAATTATGTGAATTTTATATCCTTGAAATATTATGAAAAATCGCCCTCAAGATATTCTCGCACATTTTCTTTCCATCTTTTGAAGCGCACAAATGGAAGTCCTCATTGAAATTTTGTTCGTGGTACAACTTCAGAGAATTCCAAAGAAATATCTTCCTACCGACAAACGAGTTTTGATACAGAGTTGTTCGGCATATCTCGAGCTGAATCACATTTTATGTGGGACCAGTATTCTGTGCTTTGTATACAGGCTGATTCACGGTGGATGGCACATTAGACGTTTCTGGTGAACCAGACAACGGATTATTTTGAAAATTCAATGGAGGGCATATTAGGACATTCTCTAGCCAACTCAAATATTTTCGACAATGCGGTGTTGCCGCTTCTATTAGAAAGCAGTAGCAATTTTGATTTTTCAAATGGAACACTCTGTATTTTATTGCATTTTTAGATTCTCCCTGAAGAGCTGATTTCATCGATGTATCACACTTGGGGTCTAGCGGAAATGATTACAGAGATATAGGGTGTGAAAAATCGACATTTTTCAACTTTAGGATTTTTTTGTGTCGAAACTATCCATCATTGGTCAAAACGGCTTACATGTCCCTATCTCAACTTTTGATTAACTATCTACTGATATTTAATTGGGACACATACCGAGTGATCAAGATTCTGATTTCTGCACCACCCTGTATTTGTTTCAATTAAATGTTTATATCAAAATTTGTCTATGAGAAATTTTAATTTTTTAAGGGTCATGATACAAGTGCAACTGCAACTTGTTTCGTTCTTTATGCAATCAGTCAAAATCCTGACATCCAAAGTAAGGTATATCAAGAGCTCACAGAAATCATCGGGGATGATAGCAGAACAGAGATAACAATTTCCAAAATCAACGATTTGAAATATCTGGACATAGTGGTCAAAGAAGCTCTGAGAATATATGCTCCAGTACCTTTAATTGAAAGAAGACTAGAAGATGATTGGATAGTAGGTGAGATCATGATATGCAACAACAAAAAAATAATAAGGCGAAACTATGAAAAATATTGCCTTCTTATTTATTCAAGATATCCAACCCTATCCAGATAATTTCTATTTCAGATGGCATAACTATTCCTAAGGACACCAACATAACCATTTTCCTGTATGGAATGAATCGTTTACCGGAAGTTTTTCCGGATCCAGAGAAATTCGATCCAGAAAGATTCCTTCCTGAGAAACAGTCACAGAGACATACATATTCGTTTATACCGTTCAGTGCGGGGCCTAGAAACTGTATTGGTAAGTATCATTGAGAAACAAAATCATAACCAGATCAATCATCGGCAAATATGCAGTAAATTGTTCAAAGACATGACAGCCAAGCTAGGATTCCCTGCGAGATATGTACTATACTTTTTATTCGATTTCAACATATATCTAATGGTGAAATGATTTCACAACAGAGACAACATGAAATTCAAATTTAATGTCAGTCATAAACGGGTCTGTAAAAGATAACTCTGTCGCTTCACGAAATTGTGTTACCGGTCTCACTTCCTCTCAGTGTCTTTTGTATTTTTTTTGTTGAATCGGTCAAGCCTTTAGTAGTTGACGTACCGACAGCAGCGCCACCTACCGCGTCCAATTATATTCTCGAATCATCCAGGAAACCATCGAAATATACCGATATCAAATTCAACCCAATCGGTGCAGCCGAAGTTATATGAGAAAGATAAGTATGGAAGGATAAGTCTCACTACCCGTGGTCCAATTATCCGTTTTCCCGTAGGAATGAAGCATTTTCCCGCGGTAAAAATAACCTATATTCATCAGGAGTAACATAGATTAACGACTTAATCTATGGGAGTAATGTTGGCTGCTAATGGTGAAAGAAATTTTAAAATCGGTCCAGTAGTTTCGATTATTATTCAATACAAACAAACAAACAAATCATTCCTCTATATAATATTAGTATCTAAATAACACCGAAAAAATTCGAGGGGTGTTTGGAGTCATTGTGATATCAGATACGGAAATAAAATTGATGACAAACAAAGTACCTCATTGATGTATCGACTACAGTAAAACAAGAGCAATTTTGTGTTATAGTCGTAGAAAATTCCAAAAAATTTATCGATTCTATGTTTATTCGAATATTAATCACGCTGCATATTTAAAATTGGACTAAAGGATGCTGATGGTAACACTAACTTTGTTGCAATTCAAAATGTGCACAAACTTTTACTAACCCGATCACTCTGTTATTTTGTAACTTTACCGGAATCCAATGAAATTGAGTTTCTATTTACCTTGTTCAGTGGAAAATTGGAATGCCGAGTTGAACTGAAACAGCACACGTTATTTTATGGGTTTTGTTTCCATCTCGTGTTCTGAAGTAATACCGGTATTTCAACGAGTAGAAATCTCTTGTACATTTATTCATCATACTCCGCATACCTCTGGCCCATTCAGATTCATTTGTTCGAATATCCAGAGTGAATATCCTCTTTCATTCCAGGTCACAAGTACTCTCTATAATTTACAAGCTGGAAACCTGCGTAATATAATTCACATTTCTGTTACATACCGACTATGATATGATATAATGGAGGATTTTGATTTAGGAAAAAAAGTTTGTCTGATAAAAAAAAGTAATAAGTGTGTTTTTCGAGTGCAATTGACCCCCCTCTCAACTCTTTTGTATTCAGAGACATGATGGCCTTGAATAATTAGTTGTGTTCTATCGACCTAAAATATTCTCAGCGTTGCGACGTTGTCGCTTATATTGAAAAGTAGCAACAACTTTTATTTTTTAAATGGGACACCCTGTATATTTTTTCATTTTCATATTCTTCCTGAAGAGCTGATTTTCTTGATCCATAACACATGGGGTATAGCATTAATAATTACAGAGTTATAGGATGTGAAAAATCAAGATGGGACATAACATACTTTTGTTTTATTTACTGTGTTGCAAATCGTCTTGTCCAATGAAGACATCATTATTATTATTATTATCATTATTATAAATACAGGGTGGTTCAGAATTAAGATTTTTGACCACCCTGTATCGATTTCAATTAAATATCAATTGATAGTACGTGAAAAGTTGAGACAGAGACATGGATAGCATTTTGACTAATTATGAATAATGTAGACACAAAAAATTCTCAAAGTTGAAATATCTCGATTTTTCACATCCTATAACTCTGTTATTATTACTGCTAGACCTTAAGTGTTATAGGTCAATGAAATCAGCTCTCCAGTAAGAATCTGAAAATGGTATAATATACAGGGTGTCCCATTTAAAAAATCAAAGTTGTTGCTACTTTTCAATATAAGCGGCAACGTCGCAACGCTGAGAATATTGTAGGTCGATAGAACACAACTAATTATTCAAGGCACCAACTTTTCAGAATAATCCTGAGTTGCGTTTTCCAAAAACGTCTAATGTGCCATCAACCGTGAATCAGCCTGATTGATATACGGGGTGTATCTAAATAACACCGAAAAAATTCAAGAGGAGTTTCCATGTGATATTCTAGCAAATGAAGTTCATGTAAACATGTATCCTAACTTGCTCCGTTTTTGAGATACAGGATGTTACAGTTGGAAGTATCAATTGTTTTTTTTATAACCCCCCTGTATAAGCCTTTCATGGTGCCAACATTCAGTATGGATGGAGACTGAGAAAGTCCCAAAATCTCAAAATGATTCTAAATGGGGTTATTGAGTAATCTCAATGGAAGTCTTGAAAACACCTACATTAAAATTTGGAGTCAAATCGAATTTTTATTGTTTCCTCAAAAACTAAGCTACATACAAAAATCACACAGATGATTAAAAAGTTGTTATTTTAATAGTTCAATCTAATAAAACTATGAAACTCAGAAAAACCGGTGGTGTACAATGACATTCACCATAAATATCGATAAATTTACCCACTGTGACGTCACTGGAAATATTATTTCAATTCTAATTGGACTAGAAGAAGCTCCATATCACTATAAAGAAAACCACAACGTTCTCTTGAAATTGATGAAAAGACAATTGGGAAATGAATTAAAAAAAAGATATTTCATGGAAATATTAATACCATGTATCTCGAAAATGAAGCAAGTTAAGACACATGTCTATATGAACTTTATTTCCTAAAATATCACACGGAATTACCCCTTGAATTTTTTCGTTGTTATTTAGATACACTCTGTATAGCCAGGAAACTGATTTGTCCTACTACACACATACTGATAATATATTGAAACAATACTCCACCATGTTGCCGGCGCTCATGATTCTGTGGAATTCGATTTCGACAATATCGTAATGTGTATATCCCCCTGTTCGTTTCAGGCCAGAAATACGCCCTATACGAGCTGAAAACGTGCGTAATAAAATTCCTGCTGAAGTTCGAAATCCGGGAGGATCGCACCTTCCAGCCTGCTATCGGAATGTGTTCGGTTTTGAAATCCAGGAACGGCATCAAATTGAAAATGAGACCGAGGCACGGCCAGTAATTCGAACAGAGTGTAGGTATTTACAGGGTGATTCTATTTATTTCTGGAAAAATCAAGTGAGCCATATAGATCTTCTTGAAATGAAATTCATACTATATCTACATACATAGGAATCTGGCCAAGAATTCGATTGATATACCTATTATTGTTTATTGTTTATTGAAAAACTAGCTTCCAGTCAGAAATAAAATTCTGGTATGAGGAAGTTGATTACAAACAACAATAATAAAATAATATAAGGTGACAACAACAACACAGGGACTAATCAGTAGATGGCAAAGTATAAATTTTATCCATTTCGTAATGAAATCATGTGTTCTTTTAATTCAATTTTAAATTTTGAAATATGTCTGCCATTTTTTATATTGAGTGGTAATTTATTAAATTCAGCTAGAGCAGCGCGAGTAAATTTTTTTTGACCAATTATAGAAGTAGCAGAATCAAGATGAAATAAGTTTGATTGTCTCGTGTGATGACCATGAATTTATAAGTTTCTTATCAAAATAAAATTGGATTTCAGATTATTGTTTATTATATTATATGAAACTTTAAGAGAATCTATTTGATATAATTCATCCAATGAAAATTTTTCTGTTATGGCATACAGATCATTTGTTGGGATATCAAATGAGAGGCGATACAATACTTTCAGTGCTTTTTTATAAAGTGCAGATATTTTACTGAAATAATTTTTTGAATAAGATCCCCAAACGTTTATCATATAGGTAATATGACTGAGCATATGAGAATGAAGGACTATGTTTATGACTTTTTTGTCAAGTTTAGGACATCTTCGCAAAGCTCCAATGATCGGAGATATTTTTTGTATCAGAACCTCTATATATGCTTGTCCCATTTCAATTTTTCATCAATCCACATACCAAGATACTTTATTTGTGTGGTTCTTTTCAATACATTATTTTTAATTTGGAGATTGAGACTAATATTCTGTTTATTTTTTTGATGGAATATTATATATTCAGTTTTATTGGTATAAATTGATAAAATGTTTGAATAAAGCCATTTTTCAAATTTTTTCAAATCTTCGTTAATAATTTCTAGAATGATGGGGTTTTTGTTTTCGTATAAAAGTACAAATTGTCACGTATAATACCACAAGCTCTTGAATTATTACCGGAAATAATTCCGAGAACACGAATATTTTGAAAATATTCCCGAGGCGATGACGAGATACAGAATTTGCGGATTTTAATTGAAGCTAGAGTGGTATTCGCTTACTGAAATATAACTACCGACTTTAGTTAAGCAATATATCAATGAGGACCGTAACTACTATTCTTCTTGACTAACTTTATTCCCCTAAAGTTGGTGGAAATACTATTTAGTATCAATGAAATTTGCTTACGTAAGGTTAAATAGAATGTGATTGAACGACTCTAGTTAGATGAAATGATAACAAAAGAAGTCAATAGAAGCTCAGTCTATCAGTTTTCATCTAGCTAAAGTTGGTAGAAATATATTTCCTTTAAGGAACTTATTATAGAAAAAATTCGAAGTAATCTGAAGTTAAATGTAAATGTCATTTCAGCTATAAACGTCAAAAGATTTCCAGTAAAATTTCATGATCCTTCTCCCAAGGAGTAGAAAAACATTTCCAAAATTTGTTCAGTTGCTCTGGTAACGATACAAAGTACAGGCTTCTAATTAGTTGCAAGTGTTACAAGGAGTTAAATTTTCAGTCTAATACTTTTTTTGGACTTTTGGTTTTTTGTTTTTTTTTGGTGATTCATAGGATATTATTTCAGTTTTTCTATTTCAACTTGGAACGTGTACACTCTTTCAGGCAAATGAGTAACCCTATATTTGGAGTTCCATCACTCTGTTTGGTAACCTATGTAAATGTATTTTCTGAAGGAATTGATTATTGAACGATTCATTCGCGGTTTTCTACATCGAATGGTGTGTTTCATCAATTTCGAACTTAGCTACGAAAATATGAAAACTTCAGACGATTTCGAAATTTTTTCCTAAAATTGCTACTGGAAAGAAAAATTGATTTTTTTCTCGAGCCATGCATTTATTTATATTTTTCTACAACTCCTCACCCATTAATAATGGAAATTTGTTTTTCATATCATTCGGAGGGCTATCAGGTGTAAAAATTCAGCATAGCTAGGTATACAGGTTAGAGGGCAAATGTAAAAAATCATTTTTGGCAAAAATGTACTCTGATAGAAATTCAAACAGTGGATCATTTCATACAAAAAAGTCATGTTTGAATGGTTTGTTGAGGAGGTATACAGTGCGTTTTCTCAAAGTATCTTGATGTGAAGTAGTTATACCTCATGTCTCAATAATACGGTTACTAGGTTAATTGCACCAGAAGACAGATTAATTATCTTCATTTTGTTACTCCTGTAAAAACTTTGTACTCCCCATATTTCCTAAGGAAAAAATGTTTTTTCTAATTTTGACATGTAATGTGACACTTTTTGAAACTGACGGAAGTTTTGAAACGTCTTACTTTAGGTAACCAGTTGCGTAAAGTAAAATTTTACATAACTGGTGATGTAATGTTCATTTCATTCATTCATTTCACACAACAAGAGTCGGCAGAACTCATGTAAAACTGGTCATTATTTTTGTTCATGCGAAATGTTTCGTCAAAATTACAAAAAATATTGTACGTGACACGTTAGGAAACGCCATTTTGTGTAACTCTGTGATGTTGCGGGATCTCGCTTCGCTCGTCCCGCAAAATCCCATCGTTACACAAAACAACGCGTTTCCTAACTGATTACGTAAATATCTATTATTGAATAATGCTAACAGATATTCCTATGCAGTATAAAATTTAGGTTTTTAGTGTTTTATAATGAATTTTCAATATGACGGCCACCTTTATCAATATAAAGATCAATTCGACATTGAAAATTGAAATGCACCTGTTTTTTATGTGAACTTTGAACTCTTCTCACGTAAAAACGGTACATTTTGGTATATTAATCAATTAGGTCCAATCCACTTATTTTGACCTCTTTTACACGTAGTTGGTCTGTCTCCCAGCAATTTTGGGACACCCTGTATATCAACTGAACAGGAAGCAATGCTATTGTCTCCGTTCAGAAGAATGCAAGCGCGGATTCCTTGATCTTTCTCCTAGGAGGTAGGTATTGGCATTTTTCTTCAACCTCTGGAGATTATAAGTCCTTGAGAATACTTCCTCATAGAAGATATTCTCTTAATATTTCAAGAAGATCTAACGCCAACTTTTTTCGGGGAAAAATTGAATCGCCCTGTGAAACGACGCTTCGTCGAATCCAACTTTACTAATTATAATGGAGAACAAATAAGTCTCGTGTTGTGTTCTGCTAGTATGTAATATCGGAATTGAATTATTGATTAATATTTCATAGTCCAGTAAATATAGGAAATTTTTCAAAATTTCACTACTCGTTTCGTATTTTTTATTGTATGGTGAGTTCACTTTGATATATTTGAAATGAAACATATTTTAGCAGCCATGGTTATTGATTATTATATTCGAAATAGAATAGGTTGATGTAACAATTGGTTGGAGATAAAGTGTAACTTTCCGTAGTGTGTTTGCATATTTGGTGGACGAACTAGGAACATTTTGGTCATTCCTCAAACATACAGAGTGTTTCAAAAAGACGCGACAATATTCGAAAACAAGTTCTCATAAATGTAGGCCCGGAAATGCATTGTTTCCATGAGTTTTTTTTTATAATCTTCTCTTTAATTTATTCGAATATCTCCTCACGGATTTGTTTGACATTTCGCAGTGTTGTCTCTAGTGATAAGAGGTTGATTTGGCCCTAACAGTGGCGTTGTAAGGGAGACAATTTCATAAAATGTATTGATAAAAATGTACGCCACTGACTTTGATTTGATTAACATAAGTCCCTGAGATAGATCGACTAAAACTACAACTTTTTTGTCTCTTGGTATTTTTTCATATCCTGCTTCGTTTACTGGATAAAAAGTAAAAACTATTTTATTGCATGTCCAGTTATCATACAAACAATTTACACAAACTGTTGGAAGTGACCACTTAGAACAATGCCTTCAGATGTTATTCAAATGTCAATAATGTTTTATCTATCTGCCTATGTCTATCTATCTCAAAAATTTGTTGAAGTTTCGTAACATGAATCATTTAAACAAAAATAACATCAACACCCTGTATCTTGGAAACAATGCATTTCCGAACCTACATTTATGGGATCTTTTTTTGGATAAAATGATCTGAGGAATCACCAATCTTTTTTGAACACCCTGTATATCTACATTTTAGGAAGTCCTTGCTCATTTTAATATATGAATGTATATTTGGGAATTTTGGGATAGCAGCAATATAATGGCTGAAATTTGGTATTTATATGATAATATATTATATCTAATATTTATTAATAAGAAGATGATATTGATCAAACGTCCAATGCTGTCAGTTGTCATTCTCAAGTCATCATTCTGAATAAAAGTTTTTGTTCCTTCTTTGTAAAACAATGTAATAACAATCCAGAATGTGGTATTATCTGATTTAATGGTGGATTGATATGAAACCTTCATCATTACTGATTGTATTTAGATAAAAATGTTATTACATTTCCTGGTATATATATACTATTACGCCGGATTGAAAGTGAATAGTGTTCAATAATTTGCCATGTCATACTCAAAAACTCATTGTTTAACTTATATTACACAATACTTATGAAAAGATCGTTTGTATTTTGTTTTTATTTACTTCCCCACATAGATAAGAGGATTTACTATTTCAGATACTTTGATGACATGAAAAAATCATTAAATGAGTAGGTATCTACATCTAGTGGAATTTCAAATCAATAGTAACAGTTATTTAACCAACTAGTGTATTAATGAGGGCGATTAATGATCGAGATATTTTAATGTGCGAGCGAAGCGAGCGCGTTAATGTTCGAGATCATTAATCGCCTTTCAATATAAAAGTTGGTTACAAAATTTTTCCGTCGAATATATTTCTCATTTCTCCTGCAATGAAGAAAACTTGGTTCGCGAATTCATCATTCATCCGGAAACTGCTGAGAATCACCCAGTAGCCTTGTTACTGACATCAGTGACATTTGACATTTGTCGAAATGATCAACATAGAAAATAAAT